AGACGTCGGTTAACAATAAAGTGAGGTCGTATAAACATAATTAACCACGACGCTATATGAAAAAACCGACATTGAATATAATATCGTCGTGGAATTATATAGAAACACGGCATTTTATGAAAACTAAGGGTCGTTAAAAAAATTTACTAGGGCGGTGGAAACATATACCGACGTCTAATATATAATACTAGGGCGCTTTCTATTAATCGCGCCATTTTATGCAACGGTATGTGAATATATTCAACTTTTCGTCTACCTGACTTACACTTGCACTGTTTCCAAACCCGAGAAAAAATTTCAAGCTCCGAGAGAAAATTTTTCGTCTTTTTTCCTTCTCAGAGCACTGTCGGTGTATCTCATCGTCTTCATTGTCGTCTCTGAACTTAAACACCAAACTCCGAGAGAAAGCTTTCATTGCACACAAAAGGTAAGCATTTCTCACTATTTTTGTAGCTGTTTTGCATGCTCATACAGTTTTTGTTTTGAAAATATTTTTACCTTTTTTCTGGCCAAAATCATTTTAATTCTTTCCAAGTTTGATAAAATATACAGACAAAGAGGGAAAGTTTCCAACTTTGAACACAACTCTGTTTATTCTACTTCAACTAAATAAGACGACGGTAGCTTCTTATTTACGTGGTTAGATTTATAGACCACGACGGTTCGTCAGTCGTCCTAGCATCGTCTGAAAGTTGTTCTAAGTTGTTTTTAAAATGACCGTCGTTTTTTTGTTTGATTTCTCTGAACCATGGTTTTTGTTTTTCCTAATTTGATAAAATACAAAGACAAAGAAAGAAGGGTTTAGAACAACTTCACTGTTTTTGTTTCCATCTTATATAGACGACGGTATCTTATTATTCACGTCGTGTGAATTTTCATACCACGACATTATATTAATATTAACGTCATTTGAATTTCAATATCACGACGGAATATAAATATCGCCGTAATAAAGTCTTATTACGTCTTCTGTTATATTGTTACGTCGTGTGAATAGAAGTACTATGTCCAAAAAATTTTAAAAACGTCGTTGTTTGAAATGAAAATCTAAAATATTTTCACCTGAATGTCTGAATCTGGAATCACTTCTCTGTTTTTTGTAATTATATTATAAGACGTCGGTGGTTTAATATTGACATCGTTTTAATGTATTAACCACGTCGTTGTTTAAGTACCATCGTTTTAAAGATTTATTACGTATGATGTTATGTTATTGTGTCATGTGAAATGTTATCATACGTCGTGTTTTATAAATAACCGTCGTTTGTTTTCTTAATTTTTTCCTGAAATATTTTCACTTGCAGGTTTGATTTGTCTGTAACCATGGTTTCTCAAGACCAAAGTAAGGACTCTGGCTCGAAACAAAATGGAGGTAAGGAGCTTGGATTGGTAAGTCCTCAAGACAAGTCCTTGAAGAAGATGAAGTTTGTTTCATCTGCTGAGACAAAACCAGGCAGCACGATAACATATTCTGAGGAGCCAAAGTCAAGTCGAGGTATAAGCACAATGCCTCATGTTGTGAAGAGAAAATATCATAAAATCAAGCCAGTTGTTGAGTACAATAAAAGGGGGAAAGCATGTGGCCTTGCACATACTAGGATGCAGTCCTACATTGGTGTGTTGGCACGCTCCAGAGTCCCACTTGTGGACAAGAAATGGGCTGAAATCCCCAAGGATATAAAAGAGCAGATTTGGGAAGCCGTTGACATGGCTTTTGTGGTAGGTCAAGGGGGCAAGAAACTGGTGTTATCTTCTGCTGCCAAGAAATGGAAGGATTTCAAGTCTACACTAACGAGGCATCATATCCTTCCATTCATCAAGGAGAAGGAGAAATTAAGCCAACCCCCTAAACTATATAAATTCATAGAGAAAGCATAATGGGATGCCTTTGTAGCTTCAAGGTTATCCGAACAATTTGTGTCTGTGCATTTTGAACAATCACAGAGGAGGGAGAAACTTGAGTACAATCATCAATTGTCTCGAAAAGGATATGCTGGTTTGGAGGATCAATTGGAGGAAACCATGCCCGGGGGTAGAAATTGATCGATCTACCTTATGGAAGAAAGCTAGACAAGACAAACATAGTAACATCCCGGATCCAAAGGTGGCAGAGAAAGCAAAATTAATTGTAAGCCTACTCACTCTGTTTTAAATTTTTATTAAACTGTGTATTGCCCTGATAATTCTTATTACGTCTTATGTTATATTTTTGCGTCGTGTGAATGATATTACTACGTCGAGATTTTTTTTTAAACGTCGTTAAAGGTCTAAATCTGGAATCACTACAATGTTTTTTTGTAATTATAGCATAAGACGTCGGTGGTTTATTCCTAGCATCGTTTGAAACTTCAACCACGTCGGTAGTTAAGTATGTATGATGACGTCGATTGCTATGTTATTGCGTCGTGTGAAATGTTATAATACGTCGTTTTTATTAAATTTTTATTAAACTGTGTATTGCCGTGATAATTCTTGTTACGTCTTCTGTTATATTTTTGCATCGTGTGAATAATATTACTACGTCGAAATGTTTTAAAAAACGTCGTTAAAGGATAATTTTTGGGATTTAGGGTTTATGGTTGTTATATATTAGGCCGTAAAACCATGAACCCTTTTCTAAAATTATTTTTTTAAAATAAATAATTTAGGGTTTAGGGTATTATTTTTTAACGACGGTGTTTATGTTTGCAATCGATGATTTACGAAATGCGCTTTCTAAACCGGCATTCCTTTAAAATGACGTTGTACACGAATAACAACATCATCAATTTTTAAAAAAAAACGTAAAAGGTTATTCAAACGACGCTATTGGTTCAATAGACGACGTGATTGGTTTTAAATAAAGGGAGTTTCACTAAAACACCCAAAATGGGGGCTAAAATTATAAAAAAACCCAACACCCAAAACACTTTATAAACACACCCAAAACCCATCATTACACACACTCAAAACCCATTTATAAACACACCCAAAAAATATACAATTGTTGATTTTGGGGTTGATTTTGGGTGTGTTTCTATGTTTAAATAGTGCTTGGGTTTTTTTATAAATACATGTCTAGGATTGGGTTTATTTATAAATTTGTATTAAATAAACGGCGTTAAGTTCAGTGTCTGAGTCGTGGAATAATGATGTTGCGTCGGTTTTGGTGAAACTTTCGCCATGGTTTCTCTTTTAAACGACATCCTTTTTACAAGCAAGTCGTTTATTACAATTTACAACGTCTTTATTTTCGTAACGCGGACGTGGTTTGTTGTTGTTTATAAGAATATTTTATTATTTTTAATTCAAAATATTCAAAATAAATCCAAAAAATGCAACGTCAACTCCTATGAAGTCGTTGAGATATATATCTTCCCCCTTAAAAAAAAGTTAGTTTTGTTTGAGTAATATAAAAAAATTTTAAATTATAAATTAACCAACTAAAAAAAAAAAAAAAAAAAAAAAAAAAAAAAAAAATTTTGATGAGTCACAATATCACTTATAGTTTGATGGTTTAGGGTTTAGGGTTTAGGGGGTTAAAGGAATATTTTTGGGGTTTAGGTTTTTTGGTTTAGATATTTTTGGCCCTAAAACCCTAATCGCTTTTCTAAAATTATTTATTTATTTTTAAATAATTTGTGTTTGCTTTATTAGGGTTTAGGGTATATTTTTTATATTTATTCCACCCATCGCGCACGAGTTCGAATCCCAGCAAAAACAAAACCCACTTATTTAATTAGTTTCTCATACGTCAGTTTTTTTTTGCGTCGTAAGGAGTTACCACGACGCATTTCGTGTAATAAGTGTCATATTTCGTATTTAGTTTTGACAACGTTTTTTTGATTTTACGTCTTTAATGTAATAAGTATCATGTTTAATGTGAAATTTTAACGACGGTTGTCTTTTTTCCGTCAATGTTTTAAAGAGCGCGCTTTCTAAAAAATTTCGCGGCGACCTAAAATTTTCAGATTTCGCTCTAAATCCCCTTAACATTTCGCTCTCTCACTTCAACTCTAATTCAAAGTTGGGCTCTCCAGGCTCCGTCGAATCCAAGTAGGCCATAATCTGTGAGCTCTGCCTATCTGTAAGTACAAATCCTTATCTTCCCCTTGTAAATTCATTGAATGATATTCAGTTGTTTTGTTAAAGGGTTTTTAGATATATGTTTTGCGATCTTTTAATAATGTTGTCGGAGGTATGGGTTCATGAATTTTCTGTTTAATGTTTTCATGATCAATCGGGAATGGATTTAATGTCTTCGGATCTTTTAATCACTCTCTGTTATGTTGAATCGGGAATGGATTTATTGTTTTCATGCTTAGTATATGTTGGTTTCATGTTTAGTATACGTGTTCTTAATACCCAACATAAAAATTAATGTATATGTTGTGTTCTTAATAGGGTTTTGAGTTCTTGAAAATAAACTGGGATCTCGACGCTTTTTTAGGCATACGACGACGATTTATTAACAAACCGTCGTCTGTATTTTTATACACGACGGTTTTCTTTAACTACCGTCGTGGTTAGCATTAGACGACGTTTGTTGAAAATCCCTCGTCTATATATGTCTAATACGTCTGTTTTTCTTTAAAAACCGTCGTCTGTACAATATATTACTTGCTATTAACACTTTATATAATCTACTGTAGTGATAGTCATTGCTTGTCTTTTCACTTTATTATAAATAATAGGATATAGTGTCAGAGATGGATAAGTCATGGATGCACTCGGATAGAAGATCGAAGGCATATGAGTTTGGGGTGGAAGCATTTTTGAACTTTTCTGTAGAAAATCTTCTAACTACAACACATATCCGTTGTCCATGTGTTAAATGTGTGAATATGAAATTGTTTGGGGTTGGAATTATAAGGAATCACTTATACTTTAATGGAGTTGACCAAAGCTATAAGAATTAGACATTTCATGGAGAACCTTGGGAAGCAACTACTAATGCTAATAGAAATGTTGAAGAAGATGATGACCATAGTAGGTACAGTTTTGTGTCTGAAGAAATAGAGATGGATGATAATGATTTTGGTGATTTTGGATCCGATCCTTATGAGTTTGCCAATGTGATTGGGGATGGAGATCAACCATTGTACCTTGATTGTAGAAAGTACACGAAGTTATCGGCATTAGTGAAGTTGTATAATTTGAAGGCAAAACATGGGATGAGTGACGTCTGTTTTACAGAATTATTGATACTTCAAGGCGATTTGCTTCCAGAATGAAATACAATACCGACCTCTATGTATGAGGCAAAAAAAACTTTGTGTGCATTGGAGCTGAGTTATGAGAAAATGCACGCATGCCCCAATGATTGCATCTTGTATAGGAAGGAGTATGAAGATTCAACTAATTGTCCTACTTGTGGTATCTCAAGGTGGAAGGAAGGCAAAGATTCAATCTTGACAGAGGGTGTGCCAGCGAAGGTGGTGTGGTATTTTCCTCCAATTCCAAGGTTTAAAAAGATGTTTCAATCACATGAGATAGCTAAGAGTTTGACTTGGCATGCTGCTAGAAAATCAATTGACGGTCAGATGTCTCATCCGACGGATTCCCCGTCTTGGAAACTTCTTGATGATAAATGGTCCGAGTTTGGTAATGAGCCGAGAAACTTGATATTGGCTCTTTCATCTGATGGATTCAATCCCCACAGTTCTCTAAGTAGCAAATATAGTTGCTGGCCAGTTATTTTAGTTACATATAATCTCCCTCCATGGCTATGCATGAAACGAAAGTTCATGATGTTGACCTTATTGATTTCCGGTCCTAAACAACCCAGAAATGATATAGACGTCTACTTGGAGCCTTTGATTGATGATTTAAAATCTTTGTGGGATGAGATTAGAGGAGTGTATGATGCATATAATGGAGAATACTTTACACTCAGAGCTACATTAATGTGGACAATTAATGATTTCCCCGCCTATGGAAACTTATCTGGTTGTGTTGTTAAAGGATATAAAGTTTGTCCAATATGCGGCGATGATACACCTAGTCACTGGTTGAAAAATGGCCACAAAATTTGTTACATTGGGCATAGAAAATGGTTACCAATCAATCATCCATATAGTAGGCAACGTGCAGCTTTTAATAGGAAACCTGAATATGGCACGCCTCCCGAGCCATTAACCAAAGAAGAAGTGGTGCATATGGTTGAATATGGTCACAGAGTTTGTTGGAAGAAGAAATCAATATTCCTTGATCTCGAGTATTGGAAATACCTTCCTGTGAGGCATGTCCTAGATGTTATGCACATTGAGAAGAATGTTTGCGATAGTATCATTAGTACATTTCTAGAGATCCCTGGAAAAAATAAAGATGGGATTGCTGCTCGATTAGATTTATTGAATATGGGGGTCAAAACTGATTTGCAACCCGAGTATGGAGAAAGACGTACTCGTTTGCCTCCCGGGCCTTGGAATTTGTCAAGAGCAGAGAAGAGAGCAGTTTGCAATTCTTTCTATGGTATGAAGGTCCTTGAAGGTTATTCTTTGTGTTTGCTTGAGAAGTACTTTCCCCCTTCATTCTTTGATATCATGGTTCATCTAGTAGTACATCTTGTCAGAGAAGTTCGTCTATGTGGGCCAGTATATTTTAGATGGATGTATCCATTTGAAAGATATATGAAAGTGCTAAAAGGGTATGTTCAGAATCGTACTCGTCCCGAAGGTTGCATTGCTGAGTGGTATATAGCTGAAGAAGCTGTAGAGTTTTGTACCGAGCATTATCTAATGTTAGTACAGTTGGAGTGCCTTCAAGCCAAAAGTTGGGAGTTTCAAAGCCATTATCAGGTTGCACAGTGAGCTTAGTTGATCGGGACCTGTTGAACCAAGCACATCTATATGTCTTGGAGAATACGGAGGAAGTCCTACCTTATATCGAGTGCATATGAGTTTTATTCTTTAAGTTTCCATTTTAAATTATTTCTTATGTTTATCTTATATGTTTGGGGCCGTAATTCTTGAATTTTTCGTGTCATGTAGGCAACATATGATCCACATCAAGACCGTTTATCCAAAATTTAGAAAGAGAACAAAGTGGCTACAAGATAAGCACAATAGCACTTTCATTTAATGGCTACGCTTCAAGGTATATGTTATTGAATAACATATTGGACTTTTAATTTTCTTCTTTCTATGTTAGATTGGATTAAGATATGATTAATTTGCAGGTTCAAAGTGAACTTAATGAGGAAGACAATCATGGCGTATCAGAAAATTTAAGGTGGCTAGCAGCTGGTCCAAACATGGCAGTGCCATCATATAGGAGCTATCTTATTAAAGGTATTAAATTTAACATCAAGGCACAAGATGATGTGCGGACAACTCAAAATAGTGGAGTTTATTTACTTGCACATACCATGCAAGTTGCTAGTGCCAAGGATAAAAACCCAATTCTCTCAAATATGGGTTTCTATGGTGTCATTCAAGAAATTTGGGACCTTGACTACCAAAAGTTTACAATCCCAGTCTTTAGGTGTGATTGGATAGATAGTACTTCTGGTCTTGTAGTCGACGAACTTGGATTTACCCTTGTAGATTTGAGTAAAATTGGACATAGGAATGACCAATTTGTTTTGGCTTCTCAAGTCAAACAAGTATTTTTTGTTGACTACCGGATGCATCGTGGTTGGTTGGTAGTGTTATCAATGCCTAATAAAGAATATAATGATGTTATTGGTGATGATGTCTTAGGTGATGTGAGAATTGAGTATGAGCCATTTACTAGAGGGATGCTAAATGTTGACACATTTGATGAACTGGTGGGTGAGTTTGGGAGTCAAAATATTTGAGATGAGTGTGAAGATATATGGATTGAATGATGCTTATGTAATTTATGAAATTACTTATGGCAGTGTATAACATTAATTTTGTAATATATTGTAATGTGATTTCTTCATTTCATTATTCAGGTTTTGGTCACAAAACAATCAGTACAAAAAATACTGGTTCAAGATTACAAACACGACGGTCTTGATAAAAATGTGAAAAACATACGTCTGTTTTAATAAAATTGTCATAAAAAACGACGTTTTGGAGCATTCAACGACCGCAATATATTTACCAACATCTTAAAGCAACGTAACAATGAAGAACCACGACACTATTGTGAAACAGTTATTAAGGATATCACGTCGGAGAAGTATAAAGAGCCAACATGTAATACCGACGTCGGATAACACGACTCCAATCCCATAATACCGACGTCTAAAAGACGAGATATCTAACCTGAACGTTACAAAAGACGACGTCTTAGATTATGAACTCGTTCGTATCAAATCAAAAATCGTCGTCTTAATTTTACCACGTCGCTTGTTCTCTCATAACTGAAGTGGAAAATGATTAATTCACGACGGTATTTGAAATCCATTGGTAAACTTGTCGATGTAAAGGTATATTTGGACGTCGTTTCTTTACAAAAACAACGTTATATGAATGTATCCACGTCTCTTTTCTTATGATCATGTCGTTAAAATGACTTTAAACGGCGAATATCGGATAAACTACGCCGTCTAATAGACATTAGACGACTGTAATTTTAGTAATGATGACGTATAAATTATGAAACACGGCTATCTTTTACATGATAACGACGTTGTATATTGACGTCAACGTCCTCTGTATAAATGAATGTGTCGTAAGTAATGACCCTAACATATTTTTCACGTCGTTTATTTTCAGATCATGTCGTTAAAATAGTTTTACACGACGATCGACTGAGAAACGTTGCCGTTTCAGATGCATTAGACAACGATTATATTTTAAAAGATGACGTATAAATTATGTAATATGGCTCTCATTTATTTGGATCCGACGTTGTTTATTCAGTAAAACGTCATCTATAGAAATACATGCGTCGTAAGTAATGACCCTAACATCTATTTCTACGTCATCATTAATGGAAAAAATCGAAGTGGAAAATTTATTTCACGACAGTTGTAGAAACTGTGGTGACGTAGTTGTATATGTCGTTGATTATGTATTTAAAGATGTCATAGTTGTATGTGTCGTGAAACATATATTTAACGGATGTGGGTTTTAGTTCTCGTCGTTGTATGTATCTCTTGCGGCCATGTTCTGTTAAAATATGGCATATGTTGCCTTTTAAACGACGTTTGTTTGTTAGAATTGGTCGTCTATTCTTATCGTTGACTGTTTTTTGGTTTATTTTCAATACACATACGTCGGTTATTAGATGTTAATGACGTTGTTTGTTTCAACAATGACAGAGATTTACCGTCGTCGTTTGATTTTGTAAAAGATATCGGTCGATTTCAGGACGATTTGAAAATCGAATACACGACGGTGAATTCCCATCGTCTTTTGCCTATTTTGTAGTAGTGAAATAGTTGAAGTTCCATAGCATCTTTAAAAAAATTGAAGTAAATAAACTAATTAATATAATTTTTTTAAAAAAATAAAGTACCTAAAATCAGGGCATGTCCATTAATTTTGGAGGCCACGTGCAAAGAGAGATGTTGAGGCTGACATGATTCAACTCAGATTCCTCCTCGAAATCCATGACGAACCCTGTTTCCCGTCCGACATCTACTCGATGCCAGACCCACTCTACTAAAAAGCCTTGTAGCCCTAAATTAAACGGATAAACAAATCGACTTCTACCGAAATTTAGGCCGAGTCTCTCCTATAATTGGAACAAATCCCAAATTACAATACCTGCAAACCAAGTACGAAACTAATCCCAACTTCTAGCATGCACAAGGTAAAGGCACACACAACAGTTAAGATTAATGAAATGGGCCTCATGCCCTCTACCCAAACACAACGAGCATACAGAGCAACTAAAGATTTAAGTTTACAACCCGGGAAGGAATAAAGCTATAGAGTGAAAGAAGAACATTCCTACGGAGTGGACAATGATGACGCCTCGACATGGTGATCTCAACCTCGGAATCTAAGACCTCGGCGGTGCAAAACAGAAAATGTGAGTGGACAAAAAATAAAGTGTTTAACATAAGTTATAATTAACGTAAATAACCCTCTTTGTTTTATAAAGTATTGTCAAAACAATAAGCAACAAAGTTCTTTTGTATACGTATATATTTACCAACCGATACTTGAAAATAATTCACTTCAGTAAGCTCATGCAATAACATACGATAAGGAAAACCATATAAATAATACTTCTCCAATTTTTTGGAAAACAATTTAAACTTGTTTATTTAAATCCTTTTTTGTAAAATCGTAAATTTAAATCCACCAAAAATATCTCATTAACACAAAATATATTAAGCCAGTAATTTCCAAATATCCAATCTCAATTTCAAACCTCATTCAAATATCCATACCTGTACCAGGAAAACAATCCAACACGGGGATTGTTTGACTAGCCCACAAGGTTTCAACCTCATCATTGGCATCCTCTTCTTATGCGTCATACATAGGTTGTGTACCAACTCTATACTCACTATACAACTTTAGCAAGCATGTTCTTATCTCACCAACAATTTCTTCAGTCTTATTTGGGTTGAAACTAATATTTTGAAAGCTAGTTTTAAGCATTTGAAGCTTAAATCTTGAGTCTAGCACTAAGGCTACAAAAACCAACTTGTTGACACTCTCAAAATACCCCCAATACTTGTCAAATTTCTTCTTCATAGAAGAAGCCACATTTTGCAAAATTGGATCTCTTGCATCCATTATTCTCTTCTCAATTTGAACTTGCAAGCTAACCATTTCGTGCAAAGTTATGTGAGATGTAGGAGTTTTCGTTGCACTTAGTTTTAATGTGGTGTCATAGAACTTCTTAAGAAAATGAACAAAGGCTAGTGCCTTCTGCCAATTAGCACTGGCAATGGGTTATGTCGTGTCGGGTTCATGTCGTGTCGAACTCTTAAACGTGTCAAGAAACCTAAACCCGTACATGACCCGTTTACTAATCGTGTCAAGAATTGCAAACCTAAACACGACCTATTTATAAACAAGTTGACCTGACACGACTTGTGTAACCTGTTTACTAAACAGGCTGAGTTATGTCATAAATCGGTAACCTACCTGTTTAATAAATTTAATAACTAGTTACCTGTTTAATAACCTGCTTCAAATCAAATAACCAGCTCAAATATTTAGCCAAATCAAACATTCCAACTCAAACATTCCAAAATCACAATGCAATTAAAAAACTTCAAAGTCACTCAAAAATCCAAATAAAACATAAACAAAAAAACTTTGATTAAATTACAACATAAAATAAAAAATCACATTCCTAACTCAAATATTCAGCCTCAACATTTTCAAGTTTGAGAGCACTATGATATTGATCAAGCACTCTAGCACCAACACTAAATGATGCCACAGATGTGACTGTAGATATTGGAATAGATAGTACATCACGAGCCAAAATAGATAGTTCATGATATCGAAATTGGTTGGCCTTCCAAAATCAAGAACATTCAAATTCATCCTGTCTACTTTAGGCTCATCCAAATACAATTGCAACTGTGACTTTTGAGAAGAAGTGATAGACTCCTCACTTTCAAATGTATCAAATTCCTAATAATATAACAACATTATTGATATCAGCACATAGTCATATATAAACTGAAATTTGATGTATTATGAACAAAAGAAATAGTTTTTTACCTTCATAACATTCATGCATTCCTTTGAAACTATGTCATCAACATGAGAACGAACACCACTTGAGGTACTTAATGTACCATCAATTGATTCGGACTTAGAATGTATTTGCATGTATAAATCAAAGAGAGAACACAACATGTCATGAACTTTGGCCATTTCTTGGGAGTTTGTACCATACAACCTTTTATAAAAAAAATTCACAAACTGAATCTTATATCTAGGATCCAATATTACAGCAATTGCAAGGATCAAACTATACTCTTTCCAATACTTATCAAACTTTTCCATCATTTGAATTTCCATAGATCTCATGAAATCATCTAAATCAATCTTAGCATTTCTCAAAGTTTCTTCCACTACAAACACTTGAGGAAAATACAAATTTGCAGTAGTGTATTTAGTTCCAAAAAAAAGCAAGTCACATCATAAAATACCTTAAGAAACTTGTTAAGTTTTTCTAATTTTTTTCACTCAACTTCAGAGAGAGAACGCTTGTAATTAGAATCACTTAATTGCAAATGCAGAAATACCCGTTGATAATAAAGTGCACTATTAATCATTAGAAATGTGGAGTTCCATCTAGTGGGTACATCTTGGCTCAAACCCTTTTTACAATTTAAAGAAACTTCTGCAACATAATCTAAAAATATATGTTTCCTTCCTTGTGAACCTCTAACATACTTAATACTTTCCCTAATTTTCCCCATAGAATCATGAATGTGTTTCAATCCATCTTGCACTATCAATTTCAGGATGTAAGCACAACATCGAACATGAAAAAAATATTCCATTCATTAATAGTGCATTATGCAAGTTAAGTTGCCCCTTCAACAACATAACAAAACTATCATTTGAAGATGCATTGTCCAAAGTCATACAAAAAAGTTTCTTTTCCATCCCCCAACTAGTCAACAACTTATAGATCTTCTCACACAATGCAACACCACTAAGAGGAGAAGGCATAAAACTGAAATTCAAAATTCTTTTTTGCAATTTCCAATTAGCATCAACAAAATGGGCAGTGAGAGAAAGATAACCATCTATGGTTATAGAAGTCTACAAATCAGATGTCAAACAAACTCTTCCAGTGATTGAACCCAAAAGTTCCTTAAGCTTACCATTTTCTCTATTGTACAAACTCAACACATCAACCTTTGCAATATTTTGAGATATCAATTTGATATCAGCACAAATGTAATTAAACACATCCCTAATTCTAGCAAACTCAACAAATTGAAAGGGCAGCTCATGCTTGATAATTGTCATCACTAGTAATTCACGGAATTTATTAGGATCAAACTTAGCAGACATTGTTATGATAGACCCTTCAAATTTAGATAATAATAATTGGCCCAAATTGTGAGTATCAGATTTCAAACAAGAATCAAGATAACACTTTAAATTTCCAGTACCATATTTACTATCACATAGGTATTTGTGACCACATTTCATGCACTTCGCACAAAGCTTATTATCTAGATTGACGCAAGAATTTCAAACTAAGTCCATACATTTGATGTGAGTTTTCTATGTCTCTTACCAACATGAGTTGCAACAATTGCATTGTTATTGTTAGACGGATCTAAATCTTGCACATTACTTCTAGCTGCTTCACCATCAAAACTATCACCCCCATTTTCAAAAACATCCATATGTATAAAACATAATAATTTCATGTTAGTCAAAACATAAACAAAAACAAAGAAATCCAATAAGACAGAAACAAAAAGATCAAACAAAGCATAAAATTAATCACAAAATAGAATTTATTGACAGTCAAAGAGATCAATCATATAAAACTATCACACCCATCTTCAAAAATATTTGGGGGAACAAAATTCAGATCGTGTAGTTGTCATCCCTCATCCAACAAAAAAAAATTATAATATAAACAAATTCAATTGAACTAAGTAATTTTATGAATCTTTGATTGGATCTTTTTAATTTCTCCTATGTTTCCTTGCTACTAGGAAAAGCCAACTTGGGTCCAAGATGTAGCCTTTTAATACAACTTGGGTCCAAAAAAAATTCAACAACGACGGTATTGATTCACTCCCTTTCGCAAAGCCCAAAACACTATAAACGAAAATCATATTTTGTCAAACACTCAAAATTCTATATCAGCACCAGTCAAATTCCCATATAGAAACACCACAATTAATCAATTAAAGCATAGCACTCCATGAGCATGTATACATACATATATATATATATATATATATATAGAGAGAGAGAGAGAGAGAGAGAGAGAGAGAGAGAGAGAGAGAGAGAGAGAGAGAGAGAGAGAGAGTGGCTAAAAATGGAGCCCATGAATGCCCTGCCAGTGGAGTCTCCGGCAACCTTGAGAAGGCAGACAGCAGGGCCATTGGAGCAGGCGGGGACTAACGGGTTTGAAGAATTAGGGTTAGGGTTAAGGTTTGGATTGGTCGAGCTCAGTGTCAGTGTCCGGGTCAGACTTTGGAGAATCCACCGACGTCGTCGCCATGGCTGTTACTCTCTCTGTTTTCTATGAAGTCATGGCTGAGCAAGATTTGGGAGAGTGCGAGAGAGGAGAAGAGTTGGGAGAAATTGAGTTTCAGAAAATGATTTTTGAGGGGATAAAGGGTCAATACCGATATATTTATATGAAGGGCAATTATGTACTTTCATGTTACAAAGTGAGTATTTCTGATTGAAATTTATAATGTGAGTATATTTGATTATGGTTTATCTTTTGTGATTATCTATGTCAATTTCCCTAAAGAGAGTTGGGTTAATCAAAGGTTGTCTTCCAGAGGAATTAAAAAAGGTACTTGTATCTGTAGCTTCTGTACCACCATATCATTATACGTTCAAGATTTCAACGCACAATGATACTCATATACATGAATATTGTCTCCACGTAAGCATTATATCGCTTGCTCACTTACACAAAGAGAGCAAACGAAAACGAACAATGAGAGGTCACAATGTATAAATCTTTACCAAATTTACCCTCACAAAGTTTGTCTACATACTCAAGCACACATGTACTATTGCAATTCCCGTCTCTTCTAGGGTTTTACACTTTTAGCACCATCTCATTATACCTTCCTGATTTCAACACACAATGATACTCATACACAAATATTGCCTCCACGTAGCATAATATCGTTCGCTCTCCTGCACAAATAGAGCAAAAGAAAATGGACATGAATGGGTGACACTATTCTAAACCTTTACTAAATTTACCCTCACAAAGTTTGTTTATATTCTAAACCACTTAGGCTTATTTGGTAATCCCTAAAGTTGCCACCTCATTGTAACCGCCCTACTCTTCATGCTACAATCCCTTGATTCGTGGAACACTTCTTCTCAAGCCACCACGTCATTAGACACATGTTTATCTTGGATACAACCACCAACCTTGATCCCCCTTTTTATTGAACCACTCTCCCACATTTTCATATTTTCGTGGAGCAATAACCACTCAACTAACTAGGTAGTTATCCTTCATCTTTTTAGTTATAGCTGCCCACTTCTCTGGTCATTAAGCCCTCTAGTCACCATGCTAGTAACTACGCACTCTCTAGGTAGTTATCTAAGTAGCCTACTTCATTCCTTAAATGTAGGACACACTTGTTTAGTGCTTCCTTGATTTTAGGAACTTCCAAACCGCCACTAACTTACCCTCAACCGCTTATGCCAAGTGTTATTCCGCCAACAATCTTTAGCTCCAATGACTTAGGTGTGTCCACTTCACTTGTTACAAGCCATCTTCGTACAACCTTAGCACACTTGCGCTCGCAGATTAATGTGTCTAGAAAGTATAAACTAATAAACACCATGTACTAAAATAATATTTTAATTTGACATGTAAAATTCTATATGTCAAATTACCACATAAGTCATTGAATTCAAATTTACTGTTTGATATTTGACGTCGCCTCGGAGATGCTCTTAATATTTTTGTCCAATAAGGGTATTTTTGATATTTTTGAATGTTTCATGGATTATGATTCATAAATTTTTTTGTGATGATAATGTTTAAAAGAAAAGCCAAACAGAATTTTTTTTTAATTTTTTATTTATTTATAAAAAAGCTTCATCATTACACCCTTCAATAGTCGACATACATTTAAATATTGACCTTAAATCTTCTTGTTCTTTTAGTTATGGATAGCAATGGTTGCCCAATAGGTGTCCACGGAGAACCACTGTTACATTAAAGTCAACTTTTGTTTGGCAGTGCTTACTTTTCTTTTATGCTCCTTTGTCAAGCAAAGATATAAAATTGAAAATTACAAGAAATAAAAAAAGAAATAAAATTGAAAATTACAAGAAAGCCCTTGTGCCGACTAACTCCTCTACACACGTTTTCAACACAAACAATAAATAAGAAAATAATTAACATCCCAAACAAAAGAATATATATATATATATATATATAATTAGCATAAAATTTTCAAAAGAAACATGAAAAGAAAAAGAAAATGTGTGGAGAGTTTAATCTCACGCGTTTATTTATTTTTTTATTTTCATAATGATGCATAAAAAATATACAGGAAAGCAAAAAAAACGAAAAACTCTTTCGTCGGCGAAAGAAAAATCCAAGCAGAGAAGAAAAGGTCATCTGCTTGGAAGCTTTCCATTCACATAACTGGGCCCCTGCAAGCAACCCATTTCCTTGTTCTGCGTAATCCATACAAGAAAAAATGAGTATCACGATAAGAACAAGACTTTGACTTTTAATATTCACACCGTCTTTTGACCCAAAAAAGAAGAAAGGAAAAGGCTTTCACCGTCCTACCCTTATGTAGAATTAGTCAATTCGAGTTGGGTATTAAAATATTACGCAGAATCTGCACCAAGATTCAGAATTTCCAAACTACAGCTGCCCATTTTAGTTTTACAGTTGCACAACAAAACCCATTTCAAGAATTTGCTTCTGTTGCTTTTGGCAGAGAGAGGAAAAGTCAGTTTTTGGACTTTTTTTTGGGAAATAATATTTTTCTTGGGATTCTTTTGTCAATCATACAACCCCACACTGCTATATAATTGGCTTGAAGGGTTCTGGGTTTTGTTTGTTTATTCATTCGCTTCTTTCTTTTGTGCCAAAGGTCATTCATTTAATTCTTTAAAGTATCAAATAACTTTCAAAGATTGTTTGAAACGTTTATATAAGGCTCTGTAGTTTGGCATCAACCTGAAGCTTTCTTGGACGGTCCTGCCTGTCTTGCTGTTATTAGGTGAGTTCTGTTTTCTTAGATCAGTTCTTCTCTTTGCTGGGTTCTGTGGAACTCATATGTTTCCTGATGTTTTGAGCATTTGCTGTGATCTTCTTAAATGCTGAACAATACTGCCTTAATAGAGAAGGTTTAGTCAAATGAGCATTTCAATTAGATGTTACTATTAAGATTGCAGCTTTGAACTTAATTTTTTCTCCTCGCATGATTGTTGGGTAAGTTTACTTTTACTGAACAGGTTTGTAATTCTATCAGTCTTGATGACTAATCTTCTGAATTCCTTCATTTCATTATGTGTATCTTTTCCCTTTTGATTTTCTTTAGTTCTTTTGAAACTTTCGAACTGTTGTTTGAGTGTTTTGATTTGATAAGATTCCAGAACACTATAACATTACAGTGCTGAGAATTATATCCCCTTTGACATGCAGGTCAAGAATTTTAAAGAAGAATTTGCTCTCTCTGTATTGATACATAATGGCCATAAAGAGAGTTGGGTTAGTCAAAGGTTGTCTTCCAGAGGAATTAAAAAAGGTACTTGTATCTGTAGCTTCTGAATGGGGGGACGTAGTGGATGACTTGAATGCCTTGCAGGTCATACCATTGAAGGGTGCCATGACTAATGAGGTTTACCAAATAAGTTGGCCTACGAGGGATGGTGATTTTTCCCGAAATGTTCTGGTCCGGGTTTATGGCGAAGGAGTTGAAGTTTTCTTTAATAGGGATGATGAAATTCAGACCTTTGAGTGCATGTCCAAGCATGGCCAGGGACCCCGTCTTCTTGGGCGGTTCGCAGATGGACGGGTTGAAGAGTTCATTCACGCTAGAGTATGTGAATTGCTAATTTCCTTACCATTTCATATTATTTTCAATTTTTTTTAGTATGGGTTGCTTTAAGTCTTTAACTAATGATATTCTTTGGGATACTTTCACTAAATCTGCCATAATTGTCACTACTTTTCTTTATTCCTCTCTCTCTCTCTCTCTCTCTCTCTCTCATTCATGTTACTTTAATGGTTTCATAGTTATTGGCGTGCTGATTTTGTATTATTGGTTGAAAAGAATAATTAAAAAATGGAATATGGTCCAATATGCACTTTAGGACTAAATTGGATGGTGCAGAGAGCAAACAGGGTCAGGCAGTGCGGTCAAAGTAATGTTTCCCACTCTTTTTCGGGAGGTGCTTTAGCTTTGTTTATGATAAGGGTATCTGATTTCTTATATTGCTGTGAAAGTAGGAACCTGTTAGTCACTTGAAGGATCATTCTCAATTAGTAATCTTTTGATAACTTTGTGAAGATTATGAATGATACTACAAAAGCCCAAACTCGTTATACCAGGAAATAAAGACTATTTAAACCTTGACTCTTAGGCCTAAGTTTACAGAATTATATTTACTGAACTACAACTTGGATACACAAACAGCCTATTTGCAGAATCTTTTAGTTACCCAGGTAAAAAAAAATGAGAGGCAATAAATCATGTAGCTATCTAGATAGATGATGAACGTGTAATAGGTCCTGTTCTTCTCCAGTTTCACCTTCGAGTTACTGAATGTTTCAGCAGTACCACTTATGTATCATCTAATTTAAATTAGACGTTAGTGATCTTATATTTTCTAAATGTGAAGCGGAAACAAACGAGATGTATGTCATGGTTAAATATTCTTCACTGATCTGCGTAGTCAAAATTTCAGTGTTCTCCAAACTCTAAAGTAGCAAGCAATTTATTTTTTTCGTCTCCTTTAGTTCAGATTTGAATTCTTCATTTTTCATTCAAATGAAGCTAGACTATAAGTCATTGCCAAAAAGGAATGTTTGAGGTTCACAGTATAACCTATTTCTGAAGATCCTTTTTATCATAACCATACTTTCTTTTAAATTCTCAGACACTATCAGCTGCTGACCTCCGTGATCCTGAAATATCTGCTATTATAGCAGCTAAGCTGAGAGAGTTCCACAATCTTGATATGCCTGGTCCGAAAAATGTAGTCCTTTGGGATAGAATGAGGTAGCTATATTTTTCAGAAAGTTAAAGTTTCCCTTTGAGAATTTAAGACTTTTTATGCAGTTTATTTTTTTCCACAGAAACTGGCTTAGTGAGGCTAAAATTTTGTGTTCAGTCAAAGACACAAAGGAATTTGGCTTAGATACTTTAGAGGAGGAAATTGGTATGTTAGAGAAGGAACTATCACGGGACTATCATGAGATTGGGTTCTGTCACAATGACCTGCAATATGGTAACATAATGATGGATGAAGAGACCAGATCATCACTTTAATTGTGAGTTTCTTACTGTGTTCTGTTCTTATTATCTGTTCTTGTGGTTTTGAAAGTAATTACACTTTCTTTATCAGTTTTCTTCATGTTTCTTGTTGGGTTTAAGATTTCTCTGTACCTCTACCGCATAATTAGGGAAACTGCTAGGTTATAAGAAACATCCTTTCACGTGATTCTATTTGTGACCTATGATGGTAGCTAAAGTCGAACACTTTAGTTCATTGAACATGAATTTAATTGTTTTGACATACGACTGACTGTTTTAGTTGTTCTTAATAACTTAATGGTGCCCACTTCTTGAATAGTAGGAAACATATATAAAGGTCTTGTAGATTGAAAGTTCCTACCCCCAATACTTTTTATTCAAAAATGTACGAACTGGAATCAATAATCTGAAGGATTATTCAAAAGAACAGAACAAGAGAAACTAAAGGGGACTCATACTCACCTATTTTGTATTCTAGTCCACATCTAGGATTTTATTTATATGTCTATTTTAGTAACCAACCCATCCTTTTCCAGTATGAATTATGATGTGATGTTTCTAATTATTCATTACAGAAAATTCTTAGTACTTTTTCAGAATGTGACTTAGCAGCCGCTGATGAGTAACTTTTCTTGGCATGCTTTCACGTGTATGTAAAAGTTTATGCAAGTTCTCTAGCCTTGCATTCAACAAGCATGATTCAATTCAAGCTATCAATACAATCATTGTTGGATTTTCTTTTCTTTTTTATATTTCTTTTAATGTTCTAGCCAAAGAAAGTATACACCAAGAAATGTCTAGAGTTCTGTTGCAACGATTATTTATTATAATTACTAATATTATTTGTTAACATGTCCAGGATTATGAATATGCCAGTTATAATCCTGTGGCTTACGACCTTGCAAATCATTTCTGTGAGATGGTAGCAAACTACCACTCTGAGACACCTCACGTTTTGGACTACAGCAATTATCCAGGTAACTGTTTACTCTGTTAATGATTTGGTCTTCGTTGCATTTTCTCCTACAAACTTTGAGAATTCAATGAAGCTGCAAACATGGAATTAAGAATTTTGTATTGTCTTCGTTATGAATTTAAATATTTTGATTTTCTTGACTGCATTGCATCAGGTCTGGAGGAGCGCCAGAGATTTGTCCGTATATATCTGAGCTCCGCAGGTTAGCCTATTCATTTCGTGATTTCTCTTTTCAGTTGTCTGCGATACATGATATTGGTCATTTTTCCTACATTAAACTGTTCAAGTTTCTCATGTTCTGATACTACAACAAAATTAACTTATTTGATTTTCACCTTATCATATATGGCTCATATTATCTGAGACTCTTACCAGTAGATAATTGTGTGAGGAAGATTTCTGCAAGATTTAAGCTTGGTTTGTGCATGCTTGATGCTCAGATTAGTCATGCTTGACATTTAACATTCTTGACTTCTGAAAAGTTCCAAGAAAGAGGTTCTCTTTACGTTAACAAACTCATTGCTTTGATTGGACAAGTCTAATGCCACTTTGAATGACAAGTCTAATGCCACTTTGAATGATGCAAATGAAATTAGGAAATCTTGCAATTCTTTTGTATAATTTTCTGGCCCGATTGGTTCTAGTGTTTTGTTTCTTGGAATCATGATGCTTCCTCAGCCACCAAATAAAATGAGTTGTTTTAATCAAGGTTATTACAGTCTGACGTAGAGCAAGTTTTTTAGTTTTGAGAAAACAGATAGTAGGAGAAATAATTAAACAAATTCTTCTAAATTAAGTGTTCTCTTTGAAACCTTTGGTGATTCTGAACATGCTTCATCTCCATTGTTTCTAATAGGTTACCAACCCAGTGATGCTGATGTGGATGAGCTAGTTGACAAATCAGAGAAGTACACTTTGGCCAACCATCTCTTTTGGGGCTTATGGGGAATAATTTCGGTAACAATTTCTACTTTAATTACACTTTTATTCTTCACAATAGCTTGTGTCAGAGTGACTGCTTCTTCGTGTGTTTAACAAAAATAAGTTCCCTGGTGGTTTTGTAGGGTTACGTGAACAAAATTGATTTTGACTACGTGGAGTATGCAAGGCAGAGGTTTCAGCAGTACTGGTTGAGAAAGCCGGCATTGTTGGGTGATAAAGCAATAATGGCTTTGTAGCATATTGAGGGTCCTCTGTTACTTCATAAATTTCATCTGAAAGGTGAAACACTCTGTAGGCAAAGGTTAAAAAAAAATAGATGTGTGAGAGATAAAAATAGAATAAATAAAAAAGATGCAGGATCGTGTAAAATGTGTATGTCATTGGCATTGACAACACTTAATATTGAAACAGATGACTTGTAAATAATGTTTTGTTTCTTCTTTGTTTGTTAAATGACTTGTGCGAGTACTTGTTAACCAAGAGTTGTTCAGTGCTCTTGTGAACTTTGTAGTGCATATATTAAGGGTCTTTGTACCATTTGTCAAATTTCTATATATTTTTGCTTCAAACGCTTTTATTTTCGTGGCATGTTTAGTTACTTAGAATGATGGAAGTTATGAATCGGGGAAGTCGGGACAAGGGGAGAGAAGGAATATGCATAAGATCAACTACTCTCCCCTTCAATTATTATAAAAATAAAACCAAATTGGTCAAAAAGATAAAATTAGTGGAAATAAAAATAGCAAAACCAAAATAAAGCATGTGGTTAGGTATTTGTCATTGGTTTGCTTTGATTTGATTTGACTTTAGTTGATTGAACGACTTGATTTATGTTGATATGATAGTTTGATTATTTATTGCCTTTATCAAACATGTGGTTAGAGCAAAAGCTCTTTTATCTTCATGTGGCTATACAAACCCCACAACAATTGAAATATTGAGTCAGCGTCCCATGCTTATCATGGTGATTGCTAGGAGAGCGGTGTCAGCATCAGTCGTGTGTAGATGTCTGATGCAACATCAGCCATTGATTAATTTGATGCATCACATGCCCATGCGTGATGCTAGCATCTTCCCTCCTTGCTTGTAAGGACCCGTAGTCCAATGGAAACCTTACCACTCTTATGTTATATATAAGGTAAAATCTGCTGCTTTCCCCATTCATTCGGCTGTTACCACATTGACATTAAATTTCTCCGAGCAATTAAAATCACAATATGGGGCTCTAAACTTGAACCTATGCGGAGATACTAGACAAACTCTTGAGACTCTCAAAAATGGAGTCGATTACGGCATGAGAACCACTGGTGGCCGCAAACATCAGGTGTTTAGGTGCTTCTGCTCTATCGAAATAAACGATCCTGATACCAGCTTTTCTTTTGGCTGTAAAGCCAACCAGATTATGGTGTCTGCACCTTCCTCGTTTGTTCTAAGCTTTCCCGAAAGACTAAAACAAATTTAAGAGTAAGAAATAAGAGTAGAATAAAGGAAAAAGAACGAGATGGCAGATATGATGAACATATGGAAGAATTTAGAGGGTTAAGGATAAGTTCCGTACGCTTTAGAGAAACTTGGCAAACTCTTGGCAACCCCTGGTGTCTCAGCCCAACCTGGGTGCATTGAATAGAATCCAATCCCCTTGTTTTTGGTTTATTTCAGCCCATTTCTCAGTTAATGCCAAAAAAATTTTATTTACTCCAGCTATCCAGAAAAAAAAAGAAAATAGCTCAGAAAAAAAAAAAAAAAAAAAAAAAAAAAAAAAAAAAAAAACAGAACAAATAAGTTGAAACATAATGGGGATCAAAATAAGGAACTGAAAAAGTAGCTAATCCTAACTATTAGAAATCTTTCTATACCCAAGATTATACCACTCAAAGTTTAAATGTTTTAATCTTGGCCGCAAGAGTGCTTTTAGTCATGGATCTAGGGGTGCAAATTAGCTCCTCCTTATTTGACATAATTTAACATTAAAGTTTCCATACTAGTAACTCCTTCAGACCAAGAAAAAAAGTAATTCCTTATTGTTCATAGAATAATGCTACTCTTACCACATTTCCATACCACCTTATGTGGCATATGATATGGATATGCCACATCATGTGGTATAGAAATGTGGGATAAAAATGTGGTAAGTGTAGCATTACTCTTGTTCATATGAAGAAAAACTCTAAGCCTTAAGTTTAGAACGCACTGCATTCTACATCATTGCATGCGACATATCAGAAAGTTGTGTGCAAAAAGCATTTTCTACAACTTACTTTCTCGAATGCTTGGTTTTGCTCCCCTTAAATTCACAACAGGTATAATTGTATCACAATATTAAGTTCATCCTTCTTGACATTTGGTGAAGCATAACATAGAAAGGATAAATGTTCACTACAAGAATGCAAACATATTATGTCTCTTACAGATCATCAAACCTGAACTCTCTTGTTCTGAGAATACTGCTGCCCCCCATTAAGTTTTCATCGCTAAACTGCATTAAGACATATATTTGGAATTTGATAAGTATCGGATAGATAGAATTACGTTGCTAACAGGATTTTATAGAAGCAGCTACCTGTAAATCCTTGGTCAAGGGTGTGGTGTACATTCCACCAGAAGAAACAGTAATAACCCGTGCATCAGGTGCAGCTTTCTCCAGCAATGGCAACATCAATTCCGTCATTGCATAGGTGCCTAATACATTAACTGCAAAGTTCAACTCAAACCTGGAATTTGAAATGACAAAAAGAAAAAACGAATTACATTTTAGAAACCGAATGTCTAAAACTAAGCTGTATATAGAGTAATCAAGGTCGCACCCTTCTGATGTGGTAATTCTATTATGCTCAAGCAGACCAGCATTATTCACCTAAAGGCAGTGGAGCATGCACGTTAGGTTTCTCAAAATCATGCAGAAAGCTACATCACAAGCAAGTAACCAAATTGCAAACTAATGTAATTACTTTAATTCATAATCCCAAAAAACCAGAAATACATTAAAGGAGAAAGGAGAAGAAACCAATGTGTACATATATATGAAGTGTAGATGACTGGTTATAAAATTAACAAGAGCCTCGTACATTTAATTGCAATATCATGTCACTAGCAGATTAGAATGGATAAATTACCAAAATGTGCACTGGAACATTCTTTGAGGAAAACTGCGACGCAAATGACTTGATATCACTAACAGAAGAAAGATCACAGACCTGCAAACTAAAATCATATTAAGCCATTTATGATCAAAACAAAAAATTTACATATTGGTGTTTACTAGTTAACCACATAATTTGCTAAAATATAACATCCGACTAACCATAAAACACTAAGTAAGACAATAAAAGGATGCATATATACCTCCAAATGAACATTTTGGTTTCCTGTGTCAGACTGAATTTTAGATTGCGCAGCTTCACCCCTCTCTTTATTTCGACATACCATATACACATTTGCCCCACTGAAAAACATTATATAAGGAAAACAAAAGCAATGAATTAGTTCATTAAGGTATATTTCTAAACACCTGAAGTCAAAATATATTAGCAACTAGCCAACAAATAAAGCAAGAAAAAGCACCGTGATGCAAGTCCCTCGGCAGTCGCAAAACCAATGCCAGAATTGGCTCCTGTTACAACGCAATTTTTCCCTTCTATCCGAGTTTGCGTATCCTCTGGCTTGAATTGCTTTGAATGTTCTCTACAATGAATATACTTCAATTTACATTGTAAAGAGTATAAAATAGACTATTGCGATGATGTTAAAGTTTTCACCTAGATCTCTAATGACAGTGAGCATTTTATTTCATAAAATGAGAAATTAAATTTAGCATCTAACATGGAAAAATTTATATGCTTCGCTATTCAACAAAGTAAATGAGCAATTTTTAATGAAATGCTATAATCTTTACAGGGATCAATATGATCCCAATTAAATATATACGAATTGGAGCTTACATGAAACCAGACTTGGTGAAATTCAGATACCCATAAATCCCGAAAGCTGTTTGTCTCCATGCCTGTAAGAGAGAAAAAAAAAGTTCAAAAGTTAAAAGGAAAAAGTCATAATTAAAACATAAGACTAAATAGAATTGTTTATTTATTTTATACAAATTGAAGGAAAATAGAACTCAATCTCATCAATGGAGTACCTTGAGAAGAAACATTGTAAGAGCTCCAACGGATAAGTGAAGTTCAAGTCTGACAGACACTGAAGTCTCCTGCAGTTTTTGCGTCTTTTGGGGCGGAAACTCTCCCATGGGGTTTTAGAGGAATTTACTATTTATTTTTTGTTCAAATCGCCGCCCGTGTGCGCAACTCGTGTAGGAATTAAAGTTGCAGTTTAATAGTCTGACGTTATGCCACGTAGCAGCAAATGCTGCCTCTCCTTCTTATATCAAACCATACTAGCTTCGCACGTAATTCCGCGCTTGTCAGAGGTTTTTTTTAAAAAAAATTTAAAATTTATTTTAGAATTAAAAAAATAATGGATAATTGTGTTCCATAAAAATAGGATCCATTATCTAATTTTTATTTTTTATATTTTTTATAATATGAAAATGTGTGAATTTACCCTATTATCCTAATTTAATTAATAATTTCAATTCTTAATGTTTGCATTAACCAATGACATTTTCTAGTATTTTGAATGTTTTACCATTCTCTACCTTTTGCTTTATATATATATATATATATATAGATAAAGTAGCATTATTAGTTGCAGACATGGGTTGGCGCGATCACAGATCTAGGATTAAAAATAATTCGGGCTAATTTAAAATTTTAAAAAAAATTCATAAATATTAACATGTTACAAACCCACAACTCAAAATTTATTTATTTTTAAACAAAGAAACTAATTGTCCATAGTATGAGACTTTAGTTTGGCCATCTGGACATTCTCTTTTGGGTTTTCACGCACTGCTTCTTGGGGCTCATCGCTTGAGCTTCTGAAGATCACTCTCTTAGCATGAGAGAAACTTGTCCCATGATCTCCTCGCTTGCGTTACTTGGTGTCTCCAAGGCCTCCAGATACTCTTGCAAGTCTCTAGAATAAACAGCCACCATCTCTGATAGTTGTTTGTTCTCTTTCTGCAACCTTTCAAGCTGGCATCGCGTCTCTTCCGACATCTTTCCCTCTCCCTTTTCAATTTTCGGATGACGCTTTAACAATCTTAAACCAAATTTCGTTCTGCCACTAACTGAGCTCTTAACAGTTGCACTTCATGAGATTTCACAATAAAGCGATGACCCACACTTGTGACTTATGCCTCACTTTGCATGCTCAATGTCATGGCATCGCTCACTACCCGGTATCACCCCTTGTTCCTAGCACATGAACATCCCTTTGAGTCACTAAACTCCTCGTAACTCCAATGGCAACATTGTTATCTAAGAGTATTGACTCATTTACTATAACCGACCCTCAGTGAGGAAGCAAAGTAAGGCATCCATACTGGTGCAGCCTCTGGCCCCATGTCTGAGTTGGCAGAGTTAGGTTTAGATCGAGAGAAAATGGGAAGGAAGACGCCATTTTATTTCTAAGTTGGAGGAGATAGGTTTAGATCGAGAGAAATGGGAAGGAAGTAAATTGGCAGAGCTAGGTTTTCTTTTTATGAGTTCTGATTTTGTGTTTTCCCCTCCTTTCCTTTTATAGAAGAAGTAAAGTATGTGTGAAACCCTATATTTTTAAATATGTACACTAATATTTCATGGAAATTAAATATTTAAAATTAATAGTTTTAATACTATATATATATATATATATATATATATATATAAGTTGCATGGCAAGCCACATGAAAGCTTTTGCTATAACCTATCAAATCTATTATATGGTTTTAACTATGCCAATTCACTTCAATCTTATTTAATATTTATACACAAGCTTTTAGAAAAGCTTTTTATTGCTTACTAAAGCTTCTCCTAAGTTTGACATGTTGCTTTTTAGAGTCCTCAAAATCACAATAAGCATGAGGTGGTGAATATTAGCATGAGGTGTAAGTACAATAGGTAGTCTTGTATATATAAATGTAATTGGAAAGTGCTTACTAAGCACTCTCCGGAGCCAGAACCTAAGATTAATTGGGGTGATAGTTTACTTTCAAGCCACCCATGTAGTCTATAAATCCTAGGATGTAGTCTAGAAATCCCTAGGCTAGTTATGTGGCACAATGTTAAGCTTCATCCATATTTTTTTACCGACTCTAGCTTACTATAAATAGCCATACCTAATAGTTATTGGATCATAGGTTCTTCAAGTTATAGTAGTTTCCTAAAATTGTAGACAAAAGAAAATAAGAGAACTAAGTGTGGTGAGATTTTGGAGAAGCTCAAAGTATTTGAACTTACAACTGGGAGTTATACAATAGCTTTGGATTTGAGGTAGGAGTTTTTCTTGGGGAGGATTGATTTAATTAAATATATATTATGCTTGGTAATATTATTTGATTATTATTACTATATTATGATTGGTAATATTATTGATTATTATTACTATATTATGCTTGGTAATATTATTTGATTATTATCCTTGATATTGGATGTTTACGTGTTGTCAATTATCATTATAATTGATTAATATTGACATTTTCATATTTTGTCGGTGGTGGTTGGAATTTTTGGGTTGATAAAGAAATTATGGAAAAGAGGGTAATGGAAATAGTCTTTTGTGTAGTTGAGTCTAACCATTGTAGGGACCAAGTCCAGGCGAGCCCGTGTGCACAGTAGATTAGGAAATCGGCAGTATAATTGTCGATTGGGTGATTTGGGCTTGGAGATCAATGGTGTAGACAAGATGACTAGCAAAAGGGGAATTATGGGATAACTGAGATGGGTGTTAGTTTATATAATGGGGCATTGGAATCACAGTGGTAAAATGCATGGTATGGGACATGCAGATTTGCTTGCCTTATTATATAAATTAATGGGTTAGGTAGAATTGAAGTTCATTCATGCATGCATAAATTTTACATTATCAATCTCACTAATCACATAAGACATAGGACCCCTACTGGGCATGTAATGCTCACTCCTTATTGAATCTGAAGTTTAGTTTTTGCTGAGGAAACAAGAAGAACAGGTTGTGGATAGTTTTGAATGTTTTGTTGAAAGTTTGTTATTTTCTTGTTATTTTGCTTGTAAAATTACAATGTAAATTACTTTGACTTAAATAGAAGTTTATGTTCAATCTTCATATTTCTTGATATTTAAATTTGTAGTTTTAGTTTTTCTTTTACCTCACACTCCCAAAAAAAAAAATTAATAAATAAATAAATTGGGGTGTGACAGTATGACATTATCTTTCTAAACGAACATGTTTAGCAAAGTCGTCACGACTTTCCATGACAGCTGTCACCTGTAATTTCTAAGAGATTGTTGGATTTGAGGGGATTTGTCTCCATCATTATCCTTGGGATTGTAAGGGATAAATAATTTTAAAATGACATTTTAAATTAAAGAATTTAAAGTAACTTTCAAAATCGAAAGAAAAGAAAGAAAAATGAAAAAGAGAAAGAAGGAAAATAAAGAATAGAGAGAGAGAGAGAGAGGAGAGAGAGAGAGAGAAGAAAGAAAAAAGAAAGAGAGAGGAGAGAGGAGAGATGAGAGAGATAGGGCCCAAAAAAAAAATTCGATTCAAGTGTGCTGGGTTTGTTATTTTAGACTAGAAAAATAAATAAATAATCGCATGGGCCATAGCCCAGGTCAGCCATAGGGACGATCTGTCATTGGGTTGACAGATGTGTTTCCCACTATGCACCCGAGTTCGAAATTCCCTCATTCCCGTAGTTTAGATTAGATTAAAGTAAAATATCATTTATAACAAAAATAAAAATAAAAAAAGGTAATATTATTAGTTGGACCAAGAAACAGGTCAGCTTAGGGTGCACATTTGATCAACACTAGTAAGAGCATGTCTAATGCGTGGGCAAGGAGCAAGGGGCAAGGGGCTAGGTGTTGTATTAGCCTCTCAAAATAGTACTATTCAGAAAATCTAGCCTCTCAAATTTTGTGTGTGGTTCTAGTGGGGTGAGGGACTAGGGACTAAAACTCAAAACTTGTTATTTTAGTTTATTATTATTTTATTTGTGATAAAAATCAAAGCATAAGAAAAGCAACGCTAAAATTTATTTTTGGAAACAATTTTGAGCAAAATGAAAAAAAACCAAACACTTTTTTTTCTTTTTCATTTAATTTTGTAGTTACTAAGACAACATATATCCGTGCCTCTAGTACTCATGCTCAACTAGATCATTTCAAAGACTATCATGAACATAATAAGACCTAATTTGCACATAACGATCCATATAACCCTCAAGATTTTGTCCATCTCTACCCACTATCTCAAATTCTTCATCATTTGGTCGCTCATATATTCTTGCTTTCCTTGGGTTCATTGGGTCAACTTCTTTTACATCTAAATCTTCTTCATCTTTGGCACGCTCATCCTCCATAATCATGTTGTGCATGATTACGCAAGCTATCATGATGGTTCGAAAGGTAGCCCTATTCCACATTCGAGCAGCCCTCGAATGATGACAAATCAAGCTTGCAGTATACCAAAACATCGTTCGACGTCTTTACAGTATGCCTATTTGGTACTTGGAGAACATTATTTTCCTCTCATTATTGGGCTTTGGGAACGTTTTCACAAAAGTACCCCACTTTGGATATATCATCCACCAAATAGTAGCCCTGTTTATAGTTGTGTCTGTTGACATTGTACCACACACCTGAGGGTTGCTCAACCTACCGTGAGTTTTTGAACACCGATGATTGTCTGAGCACATTGATATCATTTTGGGAACCTAAAATATTCCAACCCACTAGGCATGCCAAATCAGGGTGTTGAAGGAAGAGACAACAACGAAAATATAGAGGGGGTGGGTGGGGGGTGGGGTGTTTTTTTTTTTTTTTTTTTTTTTTTTTTTTGTTGACACTAAAAGCTCCAGTGGATGAGTATACGCGTCTTGGCACAAAATATCCCTCTTGAGCATCTTGTCATGGTCTTCCCTATATCGGTTGATGTACTCCCGACCATTTTGAGAATCTGGTTTGGTGAGCGGATTGGAGGAGGTGCTTTGAAATTCTGCCATGGTGCCAAGGATAAGAGCATTTTTCATACGTCTACTCTCATCATCTTCTTCACAATCTCGATTCATCTTCTTGAAAAATCTCTTCATTGTGAAATGATAAGAAAACATATCCCAGTGTTAGTTTATGTGAGAAGAAGATGAAGATGAAAGCCTATTTATTGAAGTTTGAATGTAGAAATGTAAAAAAGATAAACAACTAAAAAGGTTTGGAGAGAGAGAGAGAGAGAGAGATATATATATATATATATATATATATATAAAAGTAGTACATAAAATAAAAAATGCAAACAAAAAAAGGTAAAAAAAAAAGGCTCAATTAGCCGTTGAAAACTGAAAAAATAAAAAAATAAAAAAATAAAAAAACTAAAAAGCCCAACTAGCCGTTAGGCAATTGTCATTGAAGGTGCCACGTGATAGATCCTCATAGGCCTTGCATTTGGAAAAGCAGCTTTTGTTGCGTCCCTTTTTTTCAAAAGTTGACCATTTGCCTTTTGCCATGGCAAGAGGGGCTAGGGCAATCACTATTCACGTGAATAGTTGCTGCCCTTGCAAAAGGTTGTGGTGTTTTCACCAATAGTTATGGCAACAACTATTCACATGATATATGAGGAGAGAAATTTGTATAGAGTTTTGGTGTGGGAAGTGGAAACTACAACTAAGTATTTATTATAAAAAAAAATCTGAAATTTTTTGTATTTTTTTGAAGATTTTTTTAAAATAAATAAATTTTTGCTGACGTCAGCAAACTGGAGCTAGAACTAAGACAGATCTTGCCTGAGGGCTAGCTTGGGTTCATGGGCTCCATCTCTTGCCAGGGCTAGCCTTTGCCGCTGGAATCTTGCCCCAACCCCCCCCCCCCACCCAGCCGTCCCCTTAGGCGCATCGGTGGAATCGCTCTTAGGCCAAACTGGATTGAACCAAACACATGCATTAGAAAGTTTTTTTGTTTTTGTTTTTGGTTTTTTTTTCATTTTGAGGACAGATCTGGACCTAGCCCATGCCAGATAAGTCCCATTAGACATGCTCTAACAGTTCCACACCTAATCAAATCGAATTGAAAGTTTAGTACACCGACTCATAATTAATCCGTGTTTAAAATATTGTTAATCATATAAATTTTGACCCATAAAAAATGAGTTGAACTCTCTTCTGAACTGAACTGATCCGTATCCGTACTTAAGCTTGCCAAATACGATAGCGTTATGATCTTTTTATGCCATAACCAAAGGGAAATATACCAACTAAATTTTGGTCCAAAGATACATTTCTTGTCAAAGCATTTCTACAACACTACATATAAACTGCAGTGCCCACAACCCATACTACACGTCTAGGCGATCGGATGAAATTATCAATGAAGTATTTCCCGAATACTATGTAGACAATAGTGCGCCACAAGCTGCAAAACATATCTTTGTTTAGAGTCATCGTAATTTTGAAAAGGATACTCAATATTAATATTAATCTTTTATTATGTTAACCTAAGATCATGAAATATATAATCTTGCTAGGGTCCTACGAAAAAGATTGGGGCTCAGAAGAGATTATCTGATGGTACACCTGGCCGCCGAAAACTCAACACTGGCAATGTAGGTTCGGTGGTCAGTAAGCCCCCCTCGGAGCCGGTTGGTTCGGTTGCCAAACCCTAGTACACCAAGGTTGATGACTCAGTCTGTCATTGTCAATGTTCCATAATTAGGATTCCCAAGAATTCATCTCAGTAGGTTCTCTCCATTACCAAGGAGATAAATTGAACTGCGTCAAGAATGTCTCCTAATCTGTCTTTGAATTTGTTTTTCCATCTTCTCAAATCATTGTTTAGTGGCCAATGAAAAGGATATAAGAAATGAAAGACATCAGATACAAAGAACATAGATCTGATCTGAACATGGAACACCATCCAAAAAGATTGCATTAAAAATTTGTATTGAGATGTATTATTCCTATACAGCTTAAGAAAGCTTCTCTCATGAAGGTTGATCATACAAATTACACTACACATATTGTTACACATGTATAAATCCAACTTACTGTACAACCTGTATGCTCTATGACTCAACTCAACTAATATGCTCCAGAGACCAATGGCCAAGAACCGCTATAACATTTACACTCTAAATGCAACATACATCACTGTTGAGTGTTGTTGACAAATTAATCATGGCAAAGAATGAATATAACTCGCCAATTTCGAAAGAAAAAAATTTCAAAAGTTGTCGGAACTCCCACCTGGAGTGCATTAGCCTCCATCAACGCTCCCAATCAGAAATATCCTGCGACAGGAAGCAAATTCAGGAATAGAAGACCAAACCTTTTAAGGTATTCATGAAACAAAATGGTATAACAGAAGAAACACCTACATAAACTCAAACCCAGGAAAAAGCAAGTTGGTTAGGTACTAGGATCAACAGCTCTAACTATTCTATTAATTTACCTAGTAATAGTAGAATTCAGAAAACCAACCATATATAAATCACTTCACATGCCTAGCAGCAAAGTACTCACTTGTTCCAATTTTAAGCAGTTCATTCCAACATCAATACCCGTATCCATTGCGATTTCCTCATTTTCAATCTCTGCATCAGTGAATGTGAGGGCCCGTTGAAGCTTCCTAGAAGAGAACACCTCAACCTCAGCCATATATGTGGCAGTCACTGGTCGATGATCAGAAAGTTTAAGTTCAGCCCTTCTATAGCTCAGTAACCTCATTCCTCGGCCATAAGAAAGAATGCGGTCACACCTGAGAAATGGAGGCACACTAGGGTAAAATTTTATTCAAGGAATTGATATACAAATCAAAATAGAAGAAACACAATGTAAAAGGAAAAAGAATTCAAACACTCATTAAAATACGAAAGAAAAAATTTCAAAAATTCTTGGAAGTATATTGAACATCACTGTAATGTTACTGAGTAATGAATTATGTTACGATTTCTCAGATTAAGTCTCTCGAGTACTAGAAGAATGCATGTGAGGAATCACCAATACAAATGTATATTTGCTAAGGGCCGTTGGTAACCATATTTTAAAAGACAAGTTATTCAACATGAAACCTACCACCCATAAGTCAAAATCTCAAAACAAACCAAAACTTTAAGATCTTTAACTATTATCATAACAGTTAAATAATTAGTAGAACCATAAAGCGACATTGACAGGGAAAGCCAAAAAATGAAGGTGTTATGTGGTGGTAATTGCAAAACTACAAAAATTTAAAAATTTAAAAAATAAAAATAAAATAAAATAAAAACAGATGCATAGCGCATTGTTTAATCTATGAGCATACAATGTCAGGGAACTCAAAAAGGCATTCAATATCAAAATATGTCTTCTATAGTAGTACACACTGGAACAGCTGTTTAGTGGTACATACTAACGATGACCAGATAGATGGAAGGAACCAATAAATCTTTTATGACATGTTAAAATATAACAAGCTATCATGCATTTGTATTAGTTTAGTAAACATTGTAAAACCTATATCAAGATTACTGCAAATCATACCCAAAAAATTCCAAAACCAGCCTGAAAAGGAAAACGGTGGACACGCAGTTTCGCAAAGCATTAATTGAAACAGAACACCTGTATTATTATGTAAAAAGTAAGCCAAAAAAATAAACATACAGATATGGAGATCAACGCAGGCCTACCATGCTGGAGTCCGCCTCCCAGTCTTCGGATCATCACCGTAGTACTTCTCTGAATTAGCCTCATATTTATATGTTGGTGGAAACTTCAGAACACCCTCGGACCATCCATCAAATGGACGACCTTTCTTAAATTGTCGTGCAAGCTGTCAGAATAAATGTCAATGTGCTTAATAGTTATGTTTGAGATCCTGGTTAACTTCACTGAAAAGCTAAAATTCAACCAATTAAGAAAATTCCTGGCTCAATCTCACCAAAATGTCCCGGCCCTAATGTGCACTCGAGTCATATTATAATTTTTACAAGCATAGATGTCGTGCACTAAAACACACAACTCCATTAATGGAATGGCTGAACAATCAGTCATACACATTGGTGTTATTTGATTTACAACACTCAAGCTATTGGCTTCAGTTTTTTCGATTTTCCAATCCAATGATAAGCCAGGAGAAGAACACAGATGCATAGAATGCCACTAGACAGACAAGTATATCAATCAACACAAATAATTTCAATAAAACAAACTATCTTAAGAGAGGTAAAAGATGTACCTGGTCATTCTCAAACAACTTGGACCACTCCTTTTTGGAGATAAGTTCTCGTGTTTTTTCATATGACAAGTTAAGGCGATAATTTAGATCGCCCAACCAAATTATTCTTCTGCACGAAAGAGAATATACTTTCACTGTAATTTCGTCAGGAGGGATAAATATGTCCTTAAAACAATAGTAATTAAAGTTAGAGCATAGTTGAAACTAATTTTTCACATCAGTTAACTAGAATGTGGATAAGCCAAGGTTTGCTTTTTCCATATAACAGAATTATATGTAACTTATGTAGTTTTATCATTTGTCTGACATGAGATGCTCGGGTATAGGAAAACCACTAATTGGAGAATATTGCATCCAAATAATGTTACTGTTATCCAAAGACGGAGGCTGTTCTTGACTTACACTTCCTGCTAACCGAATGTCTTATCCGTTTAATTTTTAAAACGTGTTTCAATATCCAACAGTTTTATTAGGAGATTACTACTTATAAATATTTAGTTGCTATTCTAGAGTCTGATGAGACGATTACTTTAGTAAGTTCTCTAAGTTAAACTCCCCATGTTTTTAAATTAAGAATAAAACTTGGATTCTAGAATAGCCAATATAGTGCAACGTATCTTTCTTTATGAGTTCCAAAAGATTCTTCGCAAAAACTGATGACAGTTGATATCATGCAAAGTGGAAACATTTCTTAGTTTTACGAACATAAATAATTGATGATTCATGGAACCATAATTCCAATTTCCATCAAGACAATAACGAACAAAAAAGAAGAAAAAAAGAAGAGGCATTAGCTCTAAAGAAAAGAGTATTGTAATTTAGTAGCAGCAAACTACTCACTCATGATCATAGATACTTCTGGGAAGTCCAATATCAGAAAATGAATGAAAGTGAGTTCTTCGATGTATTTCATGCACATCAGCATTCCTTTTTATTTCATCTCCATCTTTCTCACCTGCTGTCAGGTGAGTGCACACAAAACAAAAAAACGTCTGATACACTGACATGCTGACAGATATAGATCCCTGAGAAAATTAAGAGTTGATATCAAATAAATGAGTAGAAACATTATTCTTACTATTATAAAATTACTTTAGGAGGTGATTGTAGTGTTGAATATAAGGCATGAACATATGGATTATTACCACAAGTATCTACTTTCAACTTATTTGAGCAAATCATCTAAGCAAAACAAGTGCAATCTCCTAACCAAGAGTTCTATCCAGAAATTAATCAATTAAGAAAAATAACACATCAATAGTTGATAACAATCAAATAATTTTTAAATTAGAGGAACAAGTCTCTAGACAGAACAAAAGTTAACCAAATCATATTTATGTTACGAAGCTACAAAGTTCATCCGTTTAACGCTCTTAACAAAGAAGAAAAATTACAAGATTCATGTGTTGATCACTTGCCAAACCCCAGAATCTAACGGATCCTAATATGGAATAATATCCATTTAAATTAATATATGGCTCATGTAAGATGGGGTGCTACAAAGTGAGGAAAGTACAAAGTTGCTATAATGTTCACCCATGGCTTGTACAGTATGGTTATCAGCCAAATGAAAGTCATACTGCAGTTAGACTTCCACATCAGTGGAAGAATGGATCCATTACAGAAATGTGAGATTATGTTAGCAAAAAACAAAAGAAAGAAAATAACTGTGAGATTATCAAATAAATACTAACAAAAGCAATAATTAAATATGTTGGCCATCTACCAACAACACTCATAATGAGGAAAAAGGATTCACATAAAATGGAGATAAAAACTAGCATAGAAACAAACCTTGTTACCAATATATCCCATGACACCAACACCAACAGTAGACACCTTTACATTCTGAATATGTTTACGCAAGCTCCTACGAACCCATACAGTGAGGAAAATCCCAACCATCTGCTTACTTACAATCCTTACATATGATGATCTTCTTTTCCGTTTCATTAGAGACTCAAGATCAATCTCTGCAAGCTCAAGCAGAGCTATTTCTGGTGTCACGTCATTCGTAGCTGACTTGAAAGAATTGTAGGTTCTGAAAGACTTAGAGGACTTGAAAGACTTCATTGTTCGAAAGGAATTTCGTCTGTCTAACAGTGCTGAGATAGCAAGTTTAATGGAGGCTCCGGCCAGCTCAAACCAATCCTTTCAGACCCACTAAGCATTTTGGTTAACTTTCGATTTTGTTGGATACTAGAAGTTTCTTCATCTAATGAACAATCATCGGTCCTCAAGCAATATAACCTATCTAATCTCTTTGGAGAAGAACTTTGCCTTTGTAAATCCTGTCCAATTGGCATGAGTAGCTTGCTACTATCACTAAAGTCTGGAACTCGAGAATCAACATTCACTATTCACTAGTGATTGACGTACCGTTGCTGTCACCAAAATTTTTTGTTCGTCATCCAATGGATGGACTTCTTCACCAACATCACTATCACTTTGGAGTAACATCTCCTCTTCTATATCTGGGACATCACCAGATGGCTTATACTTTGATGGAGACGGAGGATCGCTAAAGGATTTAACCTTACTTGCCGCAGGTCGAACTCTATCCAGTGCTTCACGAATAATGTTTTCCCACTTAGTGATTGGGCGCCTATCTTCAGCACCAAAGATATTTCCAGCATTTAAGGGTACAATCTCCTGAAGGCTGAAAATTAAGCATTTTTCATACTTCTAAGATTAACTCTTGAAAATGATAAACTGATTCAGACAATAAAGATCAAAGTGGTAGAAGATATTAAAGAGGACAAAAGAAAGCACGCTCACTTTGATCTTGTACAAAAATTAAAGGACAAATGTGACAGGTATAAAATCCGACACAAGTGATGTAAGGCATTTTCAATAGCATTTTTTTATTTATATTTTATCTGATTTCAATGAACAACAACATTTACATAATAAACAGATCATGATAGAAACAGCATAAGATCCCTAAATGCAGAATGCGTGAATCAAGGAAAGGGGAGGAGGAGGAGGAGGAGTTGGGGCAGGAGGGGAACCAATCCAACACTTACCCAATCACGTAAAAGTCAGCTGGCTCATTAATATCTAGCCAACCATCAATATCCAAGTCATCAGGTGGAATTTCTCCTCCGACATTCCATGTTGTAGCACATACTCTGAAAACACCCAAAGAAAAGATCAGCAATTAAAGGCTAGACTGATAAACCACCACCTTTGCAATAATTATGTTTAGTTAACTATGGACATCGCAAAAATACAAGGAGCATCAAACCTCAATTCCTTTGTGTTTATATACTGTGCCCTGAACGTCTCTGACTTTCGTCTTCGTACCCTTGGAAGCACTTCTGATTTACCAAAAAGAAAGAGGAACAAATTAATCATGAAATTAATTGGAAAAAAAAGAAGAAGTGATATATTGGAATTTGCATATCCCATGGGATAAAATAAAAATATAACACACAAGATACTCAAATCAGTAGTTCAGGACTGGAAATGCATATGACCTCTGACTCTGAGACTAAATAATGTTACAAAAATCCAAAAGCAATTGGTCAAAAGTTAAGAAAATAAGAAAACTAGGTGCCTCCTTGAAGACTTGAAGCTGTATGAAAGTCACATTATTCACTTTCATCTTCAGTGCAAACTTTTAGCCTCAGAAAAAAAAAATTAGTAAATTTGTATCTCAACAAGGTGCCAAAAAACAGTGTTAAAATGATATGAAAAATAGTGAAATAAATGAAGAAACAAAAGTGGCCAAAATATTACCACTAGCATCATCACTCTCAGACTCATCTTCCTTAATGTCTTTAAACCTTGATTCTCTTCCTCGTTGAGGAAACTCTGCAAAACCCATTTTACAGTCAGGCTAAAACCCCAAACGCATACTCCTTAAAACATGAAACAAAGTCCCAAATAACTCAAAAATTAAAAATAAAATAAATAAACAAAATTCACAAAACTGAACCACATCAAAAACCCAGTTCGCATTGAAAAAAAAACCCATCATCAGATTGATCACAATTCAAAACACAAAGAACAAAGTACGAAAGTTCAGTTTTTTCTTAAAAGAAACAGAAAAAAGAAATGTGGAAATTGAAGGACCTTGGGTATCGGAGTCGGCATCACAGTCGGAATCGGCGTCGGTGTCGGCGCTGTAATCGGATTCTTTGGCGGAGATGTTGAGCCATTTGCGCATGACGACTCTGGGCCAGAAGAGCTGTAGGCACGACCAATCCAAACAACACATTTCAGCCCAACTCCTCTGCACATTTCTCTCATTTTCCCCAAAAATTAACAAAAACCAAAACCAAAAACAACACAATGGTCCACCTACCTACACAATATATATATATATATATAAATATATATATATATAGAGAGAGAGAGAGAGAGAGAGAGAGAGAGAGAGAGAGAGAGAGTTACCTGCTGCTGGTTCTTTGAGTGGGGCTTCATCTGTGATTGAGAATGCATGGTAGCAGAACATAACAATTAACAGGGTACAAATTAGAAGAAGAAGACCAACAATGAAGTAAAGGCTTTTGATGGAGAAGGAACCAAAGATTTCTTAAACTTCTAACCAGAATTTCCGAAACTGATGATTGTGAAGGAGGAGGAGGAGGAGGAAGAAGAAGAAGAATACCGCCACAACAGTTGGAAATTAAAGAGGTAGTTGAAATTGGAAGTTCGACTCGCAAATTTCCGCGCTTTGACTTCCAATTTATTTATAAAAAAAAATGAATTACAGCTGCTATATCATGTTGTTTTAAATAATTAATTATACTCCAGCATTCAACTAAAAAGAAATTAATAATTAATTCAGGGTTATGCTTACTGTCACTTCAAAATAATCATTCTTCAATCCTCTAACAAAAGAAGTAAATGCATAATAATTATTTTATAGTGCATAATTAAGCCTATTGAAAATGATCATTATTCCCTCTTATGTCACGTCTACTTATAAGTAATGGAAATAAGAAGAAGGTGAATGATTTCCATTCCTGATTTTCCATGAGTTTACTTACATCTAAAAAATCATTTAATATGTGAGTCCCACTTAAAATTCCTTCATCAAATAGCCTAACAAATGGAAAGCATATAAACTATCCCTTCCTAGTTAATCCAATTCTCATTCCTTGTTTATGGTATTCTATTTCTTCTTATTCCCATTACTTATGGGGAAGAATAATTATGATTGTTTTTTCTGTTATTTACAAATTGTTAATGAAATGTAGCAAAAAAAAAAAGTATCTACTATTAGCGCTTGTTAATCAAAAAATTAGAGGATACCATTTACACGTAATACCAATGTAGGAGTTTTGATGTTATTGTCACGCAATATAATTTTTGACGTCAAGGGCTATGAAAAATAATGCAGTTTAGGGCCGAAAAAATATTTAAATATTTAAATTTGACATTATTTTTCTTGTGTTCTAAACTATGTAGAATCTGATTACTTGGTTGAAGCAATTTTCACCTTCAATTCATATTCACGTGGCAATTTGACATTTCATTTAGATGCTATAACTGAGAATAAGAATGCTATTTTTTTCCTTGGCCAAACTCAGTTTGGTCTCTTGTTTGCATTAAGTTGATTTGTACTTTTGAGAGTTTTTTCTTCTTCTTTTGTTTATAGCATTTTGAGTTTAATTTTTGTTCTTCTTTTAAGTGATAGTGTTAATTATGATATTGTAATATTTTGCAGCTTAATGTATGAAAATGTATTTTAGGTTGTAAAGAAATACCTAAGAAGAACCAAAAAACCAAGAAAAAAGAAGCACTATACTCTAACAAAGACATAAAATAAAAGCAGACATGAGCTGAACCAAGTTGACTAGAGCGGATATGCTCTCCACTCTGTATTCGAGTTCGAATTCCCCTTCCTATAATTTAAATTAGATTAAAGTAAAATATGGTTTGTATAAAAAAAGAAAAGAAAAGAAAAGAAAAAGACACAAAATAAAAGTGAGAGCCACACCATCCTATTCCACCCTCTAATTGGATGGCAATCCAATCATTTGGCTTGATTGTGGCCTCTCTTTACTGTGTCGTTTAGTTTGTGTCCAGCATTTCTTCCTTGTTGTTTTGCTCTAGATCTTAAGCTGTAAGCCAATTATCCAACCAAAAGAAAAACTTTTATTCTATGGGGCTAATAGGAACGTCAAGTCTCTTTTATTAAATTGACTAATAAAAATATTGAAGCTTCTAGAGAGGTTTCGAGTTTGAGATGCCACAAATGCCGCCAACCTTGTCCTTTGTGTGGCTTAGATTTGATTACAGATTAAAAAGTTATCTATACTAAACGATTTGCTAATTAAGATTTATGAGATTCTTGGGCAACCAACCTGGGCTAAAAAATAAAGAAAGAAAGGAAAGAATTATTAGACTAATGTGGCTAGTTAGCCGCCAACCTGGGCAACGCATTTGTTTAACTTAACTACCATTTTTCTTTAATAACGAAAAGAAATCGTACTCGTAACTTAACTTAATTAATTTTCGGTAAAAATATTTCAACGTGGTCGGGTAAGAACTCTTAACCTAACATAATTCATTTTAGAGAAGAGACTTCTCTCGTCCCAAGTAAATAAACATTTCATAGAAGTTAAACCTCAAGACTTGCAGAACCTCTCAAGAAAAAAAAAGGAAGAATTATGGGAAAACAAACAGATACTTAGTGCTCTGCTCATTATGCTTGGATGATGAGCAAGCTGACCAGCACAACAAAAAACTTCTTTGGACCACACAGGACACTTTCCCATTCTGGACAGTTACATTGCCATACCTATGATGCTTTCATGTGGTCAGGGACTTTAGGTCAGGCACAAAATACAAAAACCTATAATAATTTCCTACTTTTGACAAATTTTGCTTTCAGGGACTTCGACCAAAAAGAAAGTGTGATTTCCATAATCTAGAGGAATGTGGTGGGGAATTTACTAGTGAAGGTATATACGTATTATTCGCATATTTTATTTATTTATTTATTTTTATGTATTATTGAAAAAAATAATAATAATAAGAGTTATAAGTTGTATAAAATGTCCAAAATTTTCACTTAAATTTTTTTTTAAATTACCAAATAATACACATACATATTATACCCGTCTCGTATTTTTCAGTTATATATATCTTTGTTTTTTTTGGTAATAAGATCCAGGACCATATCCTATCAGCTTACTTATATTAGTTCATTAGAAACTTTAAATCTACACCCAAAAATTCAACTTCTTTCAATAATTGTTAACATTTATTTAATTTCGAATTAAAATTTTTAATTTAATTCTGAATTAAAAAAAAAAAGGATATGATGACCATTCAACTTTATTTATAACTCACGACCACATGTTATATGGTTTCAATTAATTTGAATTAGCCCAAATGGTTAAAAATATTTATTCTTGTATCTGAGATTTAGATTCGATTTTTTTTTTAATTTCTCAATATCGTTTGTATATTAAAAAAAACAAAACAAAACGAAAAAGACATGTGAGCACGGAAATAGGATTTTCTCTCTCCCAGGAAATTCTCATATTTTGGACTGTCCAAATAATTACACAAGTTTTTTGGTGCAAAGCGAAATTGGTGATCCCACCCCATTTGGGGTCACAAACTTTACTAAAGGTACAAGGTCACCCCAAACTTTAGGTGACATCCATCCATGTGACAATAATGCAGACTTCTTTTTTCGGTCGGACAATAATGAAGAAATGTAGACATATGTGCATGATACAATGTAAGACCAGAATATTCTAAATCCCTAAATTCATAATGCAGCTAGAGATAAGAAATCTTTTTTTTTTTTTTTTTTTTTTTTTTTTTTTTGGGTTCCTTACATCGCACTTGAGATTAAAGTCTTCAAATATCTTTCCTGTTTTATCAAGGAGATTCGAATTTTAGACATGTGTTTATGTTAGAAAGAAAATGTGTGCATACGTGACAAAATTATAAGAGGACACTCCTTCCTAACCTTTGTGTAAATTTTAATTTTCCAATTACCTATTATTAGCACGTTTACAAATCGGTGAGGAGAAATTGAATTGAGAAGTTGGATTGAGGATGAGTTTGAATATTATTGTTTACTAAAATATTTGAAATCGATGAACTGATTCCCTAAAATTTCCTATTTCAACAATGATTTTTATAAATGGTTATCGCACTTAGTTTTCACCTTTCGTTTTAGTCTCGTGATATTAGTCTCTACTTTATTAGAGGAGATTCTTAATTTTAATTTTGTGAATTCCAATTTTTTCAATACGAAAAACAAGAAAGATGAAAATTGTCTCTCACCTACTGGGCATACTAATTATATATGTTTTTTTTTTTCACAAAAATTCTCTCCCCCAACGTACTCTAATTAATCCCCCTCATCCCATTTTTGGTCAACACTAACAAACGAAAAAATGCACTATATAATTCCAGAGTGGTCCATGAACATGATGAGTCATCACTGAGCAGCAGCCAGTAGATCATAACCACTAGCTGGGTCACATTTATATCGAAGCAATGTGTTATAATATTTTATTCAATATGGTGAGGGAAAAAAAGTTCTTGGACCTATGTGGGAAAGTAATAATAATAAATAATAAATAATAATAAATAAATACGTTCAAAAACTTAGAGATACAGTTAAGTCCCTTGTCGTCACATCTTCACTGATCCTCGCACAAGGTTTGAGAGATCTTGCCTACTAAAACAACATTTTCATAACGCACAAAAAGGATTCTTTATCAGAAAAAAAAATTAAAAAAATCCATTATTTGACGCACCTCAATTCTTTCTGTTAAAAAAAAATATTTTAGGATTCTTTAAATAAAAAATTTATATATATTAAGCTTGTATTTTGTCGCTAACCAAGATCTATCCCGATGAAAAATGGCTTTGATTTGTAAATTAATGATCTTATGTTCGAATCTCTATAATACTTGGTAGTGTAGTGTGAAATGAAATTATATCTCACCTCACGGAGGTTAAGGCTACTTAATTTTTTTTTTTTTTTTTTTTTTTTTTTTTTTTTTTTTTTTTTGAAGAAAATGATTAAGAATGGTTAGATGAGAGCTTCTGAAGTACTTTATTTTCACACTCCAGTTTTGTCTGTTTGCTTGCATTTATTTTTTTTGTTTTTTGTTTTTTTTTTTTTGTTGACTGAATTACCAGAACACAAAAATCAGAGAAATGAGAGCAAACCAATGAGACCAAAGCCTTTGGTTATTACAAACCCAAAAGAGAAAAGAAAACTTTATAACAAAAAGAAGTTAGATTTGTGTGGACTTGTATAAAGATAGTAACTAAGAATAATTAAGAAATCTTCTCTTTTCCAAAAAGGAAAGTTTCTAAGCTATTTGAACCAACTTCCAGTCCCAAAGAACATGAACCTCTACATGTAGGTAACTAGCTAGCTATATGAGAGAGAGAGAGAGAGAGAGAGAGAGAGAGAGGAGAGAGAGAGAGAGAGAGAATTAATGAGCTTGTGTATATGCAGACATACCTTTGCTTTGATTTATACACCAGTAATTTGGTTCTTGAGATGACCAGAAGACTTCCTCTTCCCAAACCACAGGAAAACAAACAACTCAACTGATCTCTCAGGAAAGAAGCTTTTTTCCCTTCTCTGTATGAAAGCAGCTCTTTCTCTACAGTGCAGATGGATGATGGCTTTTGCTCAGCCTTTTTTTTGTTTTTTTGGGGTCTGATAAGGCTTCTGCTCAGCTTGCTTGTGTTGCTTTTGAAAGAGAAGTGAATGGACCTTAACATTACTGGCTCTTTATAAAGTTGGAAACCTGGAAGAAGGAGCAAATGTCTCTTTCCACACACCTTGCCTGATTTAACACAATTTTGACACCTGGCATTTTGGCTTTTCTTGTCTATAATTGTATCATGTATTCATTAACTAAGGGCTTTCATTTTCTTCTCTTTATTAAAATAATTAACAGTGGACAGACACCCTATGGTTGTTTAGATGTAAATTTTTTTATTAGCAATGGAAGAAGAAAAAGCATCTTCATTTAAAATATACACAGGTGAGAAATTTGAATGACAATTTAATGTTAAATATTTAATTTTAATTTATTTTAGCTAAGAAAGGACAATCTCATTGTAATCCTTGTGTTTAATTTGAATTTCTTCATTATGATATTCGTTTTTATATTAAGTTTGATTTGTATATAGTGGTAAGCTGTGTCGTGGATATTTATTTATTTATTTATTAATTTAAAAAAGGAAATAAAAGATTCAAATTTGAACATTTTTCATCATTTAACAAAGAAATACCAACCTTCTAAAAGAAAAAAATTGAAAGAGAAATACAAGTAAATTATGACTTAGTTAGAAATATATATATATATATATTTAACACAAGCGATATTGAGGGAGGGAATTTGAACACAAAACCTCGGGTAATTGCTCTTAACGACTTAAGTTAAGCTACAACCCCTTACAGAAATGTTAAATATTTATGTGTTTATGTTAACGTAAATAACTATTGTTGGTAATTATGAGATGCAATAAATTGTTTACTTAACACAATGCCAAACAAAAAATTTAAAACATTTCTTGAACTTTAAATTGCTTCTGTTTTTTGAAGCAAAAAACCCTAGCTACACCCTAGTCCTCTTTCTCCTTGCCGACAACCAAGCACAAGGAAGCTAAGGGGGGAGGTGGCCACTACCCCTACTCCCCTCCGTTTTTTGATTTGTTCTTTATTGTAATGGTCCAAAGTGACCTAAATTGGACTCTCTTGTTAGTTCATGACATGTGTGGTGCTCTTTCCTCCTCTGGGGTTTGTCCCATGAGGTTGTCTTAAGAAGGTTTTAATGAGGCCACTTATCATGTCGTTCTTTGTACGTCTTTGGTTGTATGAATGAATTCTCTTTCTGAAAAATTGCATCTATTTTATGTTTTTATTATCTTGAAATTCTTAACGCTCACTGTGTTAACGACTATTCAGTTGTAGGAAATCATATTTACATTAACTTTCCATTTGGTGAGTTGGATAGGATTCATAATCCTAGTCAAATGTTTGGTGTCCTAAAAACAACATGGATTGGATTATGGCTAATCCTACTAGGGCCAAATGTATAGTAGAATTATGAATCCTACCAAATTGTAGGGATTAAGTTGGATTGGATTATACTAAGCCATGTAATGGCACATTTCAATTAATCCAACCCCTCAATCACGTGTGGTACCAAACACATCATTTGATTAGTGTTATCATTTCCAATCCAATATAATCCAATACAATCCTATTCTACCTCATAATCCAATCCAATTCCAATCACCAAACATGGCCTAAATGTGATAAATTACATAGCCTAAGTGATAAATTTCCTAAAAATTAGAGCCCACCCTAATTTAAGGGTGGTTTCGCTATTCTACGATGGAGAATGCAACTAGCATTTCTCTTAGAGAATTATCTTATTCCATTCTATAATATATATCACATCATATGATTTTACAAGTGTTTAATTTACATCTATCAACAAATCATACCTTCTAAAAATAAAAAAAATAAAAAAATCACACCTAATTGTAAGAGAGGAAATTGTGTCACCCTGTGGAGTAAAATAAGTTTAACTACTTTTTTTTTGGTCTAAGAGTTAGCATTACGTTTATTATAACTTAACAGTTAATTAGTTTATAACTCTAAGGGTTCATTTGTGAGTGATTTTGAATAGGTCAATAATCACTTTTATAGAGAAGTGCTTCTCAGAATCACTTCCAAATGAACCCTAAGCTAACCTAATTGCTTGGACTTCGCTAGAATGAGAGTTTGATTATATGAGTGGGTCCCACTGTATAATTCTTGTTAGAAGTACTTATGTTACAGGTTGATCATTTGAATTAAAATAAACTAATAATTCACTGGATCAGTCATCCCTCTACCAACTAGCAAATTGAGCTTAAAAAAAGTTAAGAGAACAAAGTAAAAAGGATCTCTTTTTGGTTTTCTAAGATTAAGAAAAGTTAGTATAGTGGTGTACTGTATGTGTTTCTCCCTAAACCATTTGGCTTCATCCTTAATACTGTTTAGCATAGGTAGTTGATTCCACTAAGTACAGTTGCTTTTCTAATTTTCTATGGAAAACATTGTGGTAATCGTGTGTAATGCCAACGAGAAAGGTTCAACACTTTTGGGAAAGCTAGCCACTTGCAAATTTTCAATAGTAAAACGTAGAACGAGAAACATGTTTCAGACTTACCAAATTTATTCAACAAGAACTAATCACTTTATGCGTCGACATTTTAGTTGTTAATAATAAAAAAATGTTTAAAGTGGACTCAAATTTGAATAAATAAAAATGATTTGGTGAATAAAATTTATCGAACACATTTGGCATTCCTAGCACTATAAATTTGTATAGTTTTAATTAGACTTAGTTTTCGTTTGGCATTGCTTATTTGTGATCAAAATCACTTAGGGCTCGTTTGGAAGTGATTCTGGATAGGCCAAAAAGCACTTATATAGAGAATCACTTCTCCATATAATCACTTTAAATGATTTTAAGTGATTTTATGAAGAAGCACATGGGAGCTGCTTCTTCCCATAATCACGTAAAATCACTTAAAGTGATTATATGGAGAAGCACATGGGAGATGCTTCTTCCTAGAAGTGATTCTGGCATATCCAGAATCACTCACAAACAAGCCTTTAATTACTTTCACAATTTTAGCTTTCTCATCCCATTTGGTAAAAGAAGATATAAGCGCTTTTTAGGAGAAAATTGATGTGACTCACCGTGATCTCCAAAAATCGCTACATCAGTCCTCCAATTGCAAGGACGGGTGGTGTAACACACGACCTAATTAGAGGACAACAATAACAGTTTTTGGAGATAATTAACGAAAGTGCAATTTGGGATATAATTTAGAGGCTATTCTACAATTAAACCCCTATTACCCTCAATATATTTAGAAAATGAAATTTCTCACACACATCTGACGGCTAGACCCCGTTGACCAACCTACTTCAATTTTTAAGAACGGTGGTTGGTACTACTTCCTATAGGCCAAAAGCATTTGGATTTTGGATATTTGCATGCGCAGTTGGATAAACATTAATTAATATTTTTTCTGACCCAACAGCTAAAGTGAACGAACATGTGGATTTTGGATAGCTGCATGAGCAGGTAATTGAATCACACTATAATTGCTATATTTAAATTCCTTGGATAGTTGCTGGAGATTATTCATGTCTTAAAAATTTAGGGAATTTCAGATGGCAAGATTAGCCAAATTGTTTAGGCTTTTATATGGATTAGCTAAATAATTAGGAGGTTAATTAGATGGAGTAGTTTGTGGAAGAAACTCAGCAAAACAGAACAGGTGCCAGCTATAATATATACAAGGATAATCTGATATCATTATAAGCTCAGATTAATAGCCTCTTATCTTATGGTTATCATTATCATGTTTCCATTAATTTTGTCTATTTGCATGACCTAAACAATCGATGATGGAGCCATAAAAAAATAGTGGGTGACGGCAACAGTCGTAGACTCGTAGCAGAGGCAAGCAATCCCATTCAGAGGCACCAGAAAATTTTGTAGCAAAACCCTAACAAGTTACAACTACGAGGAACAAAAGAAAACCAAATAGACCTCAACTGTTGAGCCATGAATCGTATACTAGTCCTCTTGAAAAATTTCTGACGAGACTTGATTATGGTATATATGAACTATGGTGTACTTACTGGTGATTTGAGTAAATCCGTAATATTTAGTCAGCTTGCTAGTACAGTACATACAATAATTTTCAGTCGGTATAGGTTGATGGCTACTAGATAGATGTCTTATCTTATCATGTACTATTTATTTGCTTTTAAGCTGTTTGAGACCCAACAAAAGATCCGCAAAAACTTAGTTATTACGACGGGAATAGTATTATTTTGTTATCTTCGATTAATAACACTACGACACTTAAAAAAATTAATGCATGGTCGGATGGGCCCCACTAATCACCAGATGTCATAATCCCTAGCAGAAGAAACAACAAATCGGTACTGGACAAAGTAGAAAGAGGAAGGAAATTAATATTGGGGACCCATTTGCAGAAAATTTGACCTCGCATTTTATACGAACGGACATAGGGGGAACGGGGTCCAGTTCAGTTTTCAGGGTGAAAGCCTGGAGAAAGGCTTAGAGACATGTATTCCGACGAAATGCTATTCTATATTAAATTCGTGAGATATGAAATGTTATTGATGTCGGCGAAAGGCTTTGTGGAGCCCGACAAAAAAGTACGAACACCTTTCATGTGCCAAAAATGGAGAGCTTATTAATGAGTGGCCCAAATTCAAAGATCAGAGAACTTATGAATTTGTTGGTGGCAATTTGCAAGCGTGCCGATGTTTCTTGAATACGCTGCAGTTAGGTAGCACGTCGTTTTATTACTGTTTGAGGAATTCTAACCCTAATGTTTGAGGAATTTGAAAATTATGAAGTTGTAAAAATTGTGATGGTGGTGGGGGCGGCGGCGGAAGTGAGTGTGGCAACGACAACTGTGAAAATGAGGAGGGATGGTGTTGCTGATGGTCATGGCAATGTGGAGGTCGGTGGGGACGGTGGTGGGCGTGGGGGTGGCAGTAAGATGGTGTCAATTATGTCAATTATGGTGTCAATATTAATTGTGTTGTCAATTATGTTTCTTAATATATTACAGTTTTTTAGTGTATATAGCAGGGATAATTTTGTCATATTTATATTATTAACACGAGTCAACATGATTAAAGGTTACACTCTTCTTGTGTTGTCATGCAATATAAGTGAGGAAAATGACAGACGTGGGTTAGACCAATTGGCAAGGACAATGAGTTCGCTCTCTCCGCTTCCTGTAGAGTAGATTAATTTATAGTATTTAAATTATCGCTTAGTATAAAACAAAAGTAATGAGGAAAACGTGTATTACATTAAGTCTTACTATTAAAATTTGAGAAATTTGTGGCTCACAGAAGATTTGATGAGTATGCCCTTGAGAGGTGCACACATAGCCAATAACACATATGTGTCAACTACCTTCGCTTGTCTCTCTTGTGTCTTTTATTTCTATATGTGACTACATTTAAACTATGGATAAGGACTTTTCTCTACCTTTAATGTTTGATAGTGTAGTTCAATAAAACAAATGTTTGATGTTTGGACTGTCAAAGTCAGAGCTTTCACTGGGTTGGGTAGAGGCAGCGGGTCTCCTCCTCTCTCTGCTGGAAGGGTCTGAACAGAAGGACAAAATATTGGTCATCCAAAGGCACCAGTGTGGTACCAATCAAGCCCTCTCTAATGTCAAAGTTAAGGCAAAGTTGGGAAAGTTAGGAGAGTGTTTAAGCAGGGTGTCTGGATAGGAGCAGTTAGTACCTTCGTCCTAATTTTGGTATTCTACAGTCCTTTGGTGTATGGATACACCAAAGGATATTGACCATTGGATTGAGAAAAGAAAAAGAAAAAAAAGAAGCAAATCTACACCATTCAATTTAGGGTAACATGAAAACCTGTTATTGTAGGTTAAATTTAAAATACATTTGGTAAATAAAAAAAATCACGCTAGAACCATAAACCGTACGCATAAACCATAATGTGAATATGCTCTTTGCAGTTATTCTTCTCCATTACAATTCTATCTTGGCTCCTCTTCTTCTCCATTAAAACTCATTCCGTTGGTTTTGTCATTGCACTTGTTCTGTTGAGAAGGCAAGTACATATATAGTTCACGCGGTGGTGGCTCTTATTCATGATCTAGGGTTTTGTTAAAACTTTTTTCGTGATCTCCACTGGGTTGGTGGAATTGAGGTGATCATTGGACTTGTCGTGGTCATTGCGGGAGCATATATTTTCATCTCCAATCAGGGCATGCTACGTGGAAAAGAAGATTATCTCTTAAATTAATTAATTGAACTAGTTTATCTGGCCAATTAATTAATTTGAATAAATATCTTAATTAATGGGATATTATCTTTATTTAATAAGATAATACCATTAATTTAGATATTATCATAATAAAAAGAAGATAATATCATTAATTCAAATATTATCTTCATAAAAAGAGATAATATCATTTAATTCAGATATTATCTTCAATAAAGAGAAGATAATATCATTAAATCAGATATTATCTAAGTCCGACTCGATCCCTATGAATTTGGGTAGAGAATAAACTCAGCATATTCTTTACGAAACCTTAACCCCGATGCTCCTATAAATAAACGACCTCATTCATCATTCAAGGTACATCTAAACCTACTCCTAAACCCGAGAAAAATACCCGAAGCTCTCTCCCTCTCCACTCTCCATATTTTTTCCACACGGCTCCGGCCGCCCGGTTCACACCATACATAAACTCCGTACCCTTTGCTTAGCTATTGTTTTCCTACAAACACTCGAACTAACTTAGGCATCGGAGGGCCTTTAGCCAACACCCCCCGGGTGTGGTCTATTTACTCTAGTCTTTTTTAACAGGAAACGAGGAAGAGAGAGAAGGAAGATTGAAAGTTGAAGGATTTAGAAGCGAATATTCTCTCGCGAGATTATTTGCACAAACAGTCATCATCTTCACCTAGTGGTGGCTCTTAGATGAGTAAGCCAAACTAAAGAAGAATGCGAAACTGTTTCCCACATTGGTAAAGATTAAACAACGATTGAAAGGGTTGTGTTGAGTTTCATAGAGGAGATTTTTTTTTCCTTTTATTAGAAGTTTTTCTTTGTTTATTTGTAGATTAACAAAGAAGTATCGGGATTTGAAGAGGCCAATTTTCTTACGGCATCAACTCTCAAGGTTTGGAAATCTCCATATCTTTGTGGTGGAAAAGTGTGAGGCATTTGACCTACTCCAGCATTAATTTTCCTACTTAACTTCCCATATTTGAGTATTTCAATGGGGCCTGGACTTTGAAAGTCTGTAATAGGAAAAAAAAACACTATTGCCAAACAGGGAGAATGTGTACCGGTAAACAGGTGTACCGGTTGCCCAGGATATAAGGCTTTAGAGGAAACAACTTCCTTCAATCAAGGGGAGAATGTATCTGGTCCATGGCCTAATCATGATGAGAGGAGTTGTTTGGCCATGCCTAAGCATGATTAGAAGTGATGATTGCAGGAGGAATTAGCCAAGGCTTGACATGGTTAGGAATGCATTTAATGTATGGCAAACATGGGTAAAAACTTCCCCAGTATCCTTAGTTAACCGAATAGCTGAAACGATCCGAAGATAATCACTTTTGAAAGTCAATTTTCTATAAACCTTTTTTAGCATCATAGTTTCCCTTATTCTAGTCGAATTACATTAAGGATAAAATCAAATAGCTAAATAAAATAGCTAAATAAAATTCTATATAATGTATTCAAGTTAGATAATTTGATATTTTATATCATTTATTGGGTAACTAAATAGCTAACAAGGGGCTCTTATTAAAAACACCTTGGTGAAATTTTGGGAAATATTTGACCAAGAAAAATAAAATTAGGGAAATATTGTAGAAAAAAAATAACTTATCGGCTAGGGGACAGTTGTCTTTGATGCACACAATTTCGGCCCCATGTATTATGTATATATGTATACTATTCACCTTTAAAACAGGATCTCATGGATGGATGAAATAGTTGTCAATGGAACATTAACTTTGAATTCGGTGGATAATGTGTGCATCATAAACCAGAATCCCAATACATATTTGACCGTTTTAAATTAGAGAAGATGGTTCTATTTTCTATATGCATAGAAAGTCAAAACTAGCTTCGCGTCGTTGTTTGAAATTTAGAGGAATATATTGACATGTATTCCTTTATAATAGTGTCATCGAGAAAATATTTTTGTTCACCACTTTAATCCAAGGTGTACTCTTACCATTTTTTTGCATGCACATGCTCCCTAATAAAAGAGATGCAAATCACTAACGTTGCGGTAGCTTAGTTACAAATTTAGTGTCGAACTAGTATGAAATGTCCAAATTACCCTTCTTTTAATACTCGTTATAGGAGTAGTCGACACACTGAGGCTCCCATGTACATCTCTCTATTACTCATGTCATTCTAAGGTTCTTGATGCTATGTACGGTACTAGTGAAGGACAATTTGAAAAGAACACTCATTATATGATCGATGGTGGGCATGAATCTTGTAATTTCACCGATGCGCATGAATTTTATGTCGACTTAACTACTGTTAACCGTGTAAATTTCATAAATAGGTAGGATCTTCCTCACTATTTAGTATATCGCACTAATGAAGAGGGTTAACAACTAAGCATATTTATGAGACAATATGAAGTCTAGCATGTATGCAGCAGCAGAATCCAAAAAAAAAAAAAAAAAAAAAAAAAAAAAAAAAAAACACACACGCACACACAACAAAGCTCCATGTTTCAATTACATATGGTTGCCTTTTGTATGCTCGGTTATGTTTTGATAGCTCGCTAAGAGCTTCCTGAAATTTGTAAGCATTGAACTTAGAAAAGTTCAAAGATTTCAGATCGGAGTGACATTTAAAAGAGAGTAAACTATCTCACATGTGTAGTTTATAATATCCATTGCCTTAAAAAACTCCTTTGTTCTTGTCATATGCAACGTCGAGATGATAACATTATTGACATTTGTTTATTAGTTCTTGTTTTTTTTTTCCTTGATTCGGGGGCTTTTATTAGTCACTAAATGTCGTTGGTTTGGTTCTGGGAAAGTTGGAGCTTGTCTTCTGTTCTGCATGGGACTTGAATAAGTTACAATATTTGTTTTTGTTTGTGTACGTATCCATTATCGTTTCTTGGCGGTCCATGTTGAACCAGATGGACCAATTGCTTGAGGCACCGTCTGTTTCTTTTGTTCTTTAATCAGCTACCGTCAGACAAGAAAAAATTTAGCTACCCAATCCTATGATTAAATAGCGTGCTGTTGTCGGTTATATATGTTGGTCAGGGGAGGACTGTGCTACGTACCCCTTTTTTTTCATCTGAATTCGAATCAATCTTCTCTTTCTTTCTCACCTAGATTGAATTATTTTTTTTTTTTTTTTTTTTTTTTTTTTTTTTTTTTTTTTGTAAAACAGATCTTGTTCTTGCTTTTTAGAGATTGAGTGTTTAGATTATTTCCAACTAATGTCAAATTTCCAATTGAACATGAAATGACAAAAATTAAAGGTTAAAGTTGCTCCGATCGAGTAATCAAATCCTACATGGATTTGAAGGCTGGAAGAGATATGTCAAAAATAACATATCAAAAAACTTGATGTCAAATATTATGTTAATATTTTTTCAGTAATGAACCCCACTAGTGACGGACCTATTGAGGCGTTGCACCTCCCCTTGCCGAAAAAATCTGTGGAGTGGTGGAAGGTTGCCCCTCTAATGAGGCTGTTGCTGCTGCACTCCATCCGTTCGACGAAAAGACTCACCCAATTTGCGCTCCTTTTTTTTGCCGTGTTGAGCAGCCTATTTCTTTTTTTCTTTTTAATTTATAAAAAAGTCTTAGCCAAAACGACGTCGTTTTAGACTAAGGCTCAAAAAAATAAAAAATAAAAAGGAAACATGCGCTGCGCATCCTCCCAACAAAAAAAAATATTAAAAAAAACCCTGTGATTTTTGTATAAAATTCTAGGGCCTTCTCAATGCTCAGATTAAATATTCATGTGACCTCCAAGGATAAAAAAGAATTTGAAAAAAAGACACCAAGTTTTTGCATTGAGAAAAATGTTTTTGCTTGTATTAGTCATGAAAAATGCTACGTTTTCATGATTTGAATTTTATGATTTTGCATTTGACATCTCCCTTGGAGATGCTTTTAGAGCATCTCCAACCGATGTGTCAAAAGTGCCACATAAACATTTAACGGTTAGAAGTAACATCTTACATCACTCCAATCGAATTGTCAAAGTTAATGTGGAATGAAGGCTGGAGGTTGAAATGTTATTTTTGACATCCCAAAAACAAGATGTCAAATGAATATTTTATTATTTTTTAAAGATAGCTGGTTGTTACTTTCATTTATTATTTTCCTTATTTTTATATTTTTTCTTCTTTATCTTAAATGATTTTACTGTTACAATAATTATTTATTTGATATATTGGGTGGATTGTAAAACTGTATAAATGTAAAATTGCTATATCAACTATCAAATTTAAATTTGATGTTTGGTATTTGACATCTCCCTTGAAGATGCTCTTAGAATATCGTGCACAATCATGATAATAGAGTATGAGAATGAAATATTTAAACTAATTAATGGAGATGGTGATATAAACTTGACACTTCTTTCAAGTTCAATTCACCAACTTGAAACTTTTCCAAAAAAAAAAAAAAAAAAAAAAACTTGAAATTCTCACTTTGGAAAGTGAAAATTTAAATATTCGAATTTTGAAAGA